CATATCCGTATCAAAACGTGTTTGCATTTTAAACTTGTATTTCTTTATTGCATTATAGTACTTCGTCGTCAGATAGTTTGTCATGATTGAAAATTTGAATCACCGCTTGCGCAACATCTAGTCGCTAAAGTATCGACTTTAGTCGATAATCGTATCGACTGGAAAATGCGTACTGTGACACTTTTTTCTGAAGCGCTTGTGTTTATCAAGCAAAAAGAAGGTCGAACGAAAAAAGGGCGCAGTTCAATCGGAGTTATTGAAATGAGACAAAATCCGCGTGCTAATAATAAACTGAGTCGATTTGACGACAATGTAAAAAAATATACTGAAGTTCACTTTCGACCCAAAAAAATCCATATCAGCACGCGCGCGCACACGGTCATGAGATTTGGCAAAAAAAAATTCGAACCAATCTAAAACAAAATCACCTAAATTGAGCTCGGAATTTATATGAAATTGATACAGATAGAGACACAAAAAAATTTATTCTAGCGTCTTTCTATTCATTTAGTTCCGTGAGATAGCTCAAGAGATTAAGGGATTGAACAGAGTTTTTTACTGGCCGGTCATTCACCGGGTGAGGCAAAAAGGATCGAAAATGGTAAAAGAACGAACTGTGAAATCGGAAGAACAAAAAAACACGGAGAACAATTGAAAGAATTAGAAAAAAAAAGAATTTTAAAAACGATCAAAAAGCGAAAATAAAACATTGAAATACATAAATTTCTTCATGGTCTCCAAACTTGGCACTGACATTGTTTATTTTATATTTGAAGTATAATTTTTCTTTCAAGAATTTCAAATGTAAACCAAATCTGTTCGCAATTTTTTCCCACCCGGGGTGTCAATTTGATTACAAAAAAATGAAGCGAATAAGCAATCTTGAATTCCTAGTTTGTTTATGAAACACTTCACAGTAACAGAAATCAAACCAAATGGTTTACCGGATACACGATTGTAAATCAATTGAATAAAATGTTAATTATTAATTCCATTGAATCGAACGAGCGAGCAAAATTGAGTGTTTGTGTGATGTGAAACTTTTTGTTTTGCATTGTACTGTTGCTGCAGTCACTCTTCACATTTCGTCGGGGATTATTTTTATGTGTTTCGACGAATCAAATGGTTGTCCATTAAATTGTTTATTGTTTTGATGTTTGCTGTTGAGTTGGAGTGTTTTCAAACGGGAAATATGCCCATATTGTTCATACGGTTGTACTCGAAATGATTGCGTCAAAAGAGACAATTTTTTATTGGTTGATTTACAAATTTTCGTCGATATTTGGATTTTGATCAATCATTGTTTCTGTTTGTCGGTGCGATTTTTCCAGAGTTCATCTTTGTTTACGAATTTCATTGTGCCATTGTTGCCACTGTAGTGTACGTCATTTGCAGTAGAAGATGACCCCAAATACAATTTACCACTGTTACCGATGTAATTCACTTTGCCCGAGTTTTCTCCAATTTTCACCCTTGACGAGTTGCCAATCACATCCAAATGTCCTGAATTACTCTTCATATCGATCTTATTGTCGTTGCCAATAATCCGCAAATGAATCTTATTATTGTCGATGGTAATCCTTTTGCTACTCCCAATATATTCGCGTTTTTCCATTTTCACAATCAGATTTTATCCATCAGAATGGTCTGCTGAACTGAGCTCTTTTTATCTAATGCACGTCAACTATTCGACTGTCAACTATAACCAGAATTGCGTCCGTTTATGTATAACACTAGTTAGATATTATCGCAAAGTTTCAACAAAAAAAAAACGAAATGGAAAAGCAAAACTACGCTCTTAGCAATTACACACAATGAGAGGTGTATGAGTGAATTGTCTATGCGGAGACCATTTAGACATATTCGATACAATTAACTCAATTGATAGATAACAAAAGCAGCCGTTTCGCATGTGGCAATTTCAACCTAACGATCGTAAGCACAAGTTCACACAAAAAAAAAAACATGCTCAATCGGTGTTTCCCCGAGATATGTTTGTTCGCTGTTTGTTGTGCTCTTTTCTATCTCATTCATTTCTTTTGTGTCTTTCGTTTCATTCGGCCGATTTTAATCGGACACACTGCTCATTATGCACAGCATTTCTTTAGCGCTAACACCGAAAAAAACAACAACTGAAGATTTGAATGGAATGTTGCCATTCCGAATGAAAAGCTGTTTGTGATTTCAGGTGCACGGCATATTATATTGCGTTTTTTTTTTGCGACAAACCGCCGGAATCATCGATTATGAACGTATGTTGTAATGTTTTTGCGAGACGATAAGTTCCAAACCGCTAAAAATCTTTTTGAATGGACAGTTTAAACTTTTGATTGGAAGCTTGAAAAAAATTGAAATTCAAATTGGAAGATCTTAGTCATTTTATTTGATGATTCAATCCAATTCCATTTGAAGCTAATTTTAGAATTGTCGAAATTGAATCTGTACGATTTGACAACTTAGTATGACTTGTAATTTCATTGATTTTGCGGGAAATGATTCAATTAAAGTCAACTATTATGGGGAATTTCCGTCCTTTTCAACAGACACAACCATAAAATAACTATTGAAACGAATTTTATACAAAAAATATTGTATTATTTATCATTCAAATGGGGTGTTCAGTGAACGGTGCTTAATGGACATAATGGCTCACGGACATAATGGCTGGTTTCTTGACTAGCTCCGGCCAACAAGATATTTTGCCTAAGCCTCGTAAGAATAAAACAAATAACATCAATTTCAATGTATAATTTATTATATTAAAAATGATTTTCAAATGAATTAATCCATTTCAAGCATTATACATTCAGAGCACGGCGTGCTCGCACGCTAACAAATATTTAATAAAAGTATCGGATACAAATTAAGCGTCCGGCTAACAGGCATTGATCTTTTTAATATTCCAACTTATATATTACGATGACCGGTACTGTAAAAATCACATTTCCCTTGTGCACTTTGCCAACGTGACGGTTCGACGGGGAAGATTGTCCAACAATTGACTTTTTTTTAAATATTTTTCTTCATTTTCAAAGATAATAGAGTCAATAGAGTTTCCTAACTATTTTATTGGAAAATAAGGCAAGGATAGCTTTTAAAATTGTTATAAAATCCCGTGATGCAAAGTCGCTATATAGAGAGAAATTTGATGCTAGAAATTAGCGACATCTTTACGTAAAAACATGAATTAATAGTATCATCAGTGGATAACAGTATTGTCGAAAGCACTTCTCATTCGCTACCTTTATTTTATTTTTATTTTTATTTTTATTGATTTATAATGGTGTTGAAAACAGGAAAAATCTCAATAACATTCTTCACCCACTTTATCGCCAACACATAGCAAATGATACACAAATATATTTATTGTTGCACTGAAGCGTTAGATACACTTCTAGTTCGTTAGGGCGACAACTTTATGCGTAGATGGCGTAGTATTTTCTGCATGTACGAACTCAATTTTCAATGCCATCTGCACGATTTTCAACTGAACCGCAAATATTGCATTCCACACGCATATACAATTACAGATTTACCGGCATTAAAAATGTAGTAGGTAGTAGCATTACGTTAACAAAAATTTCCTGTAATGTTATTACAATTGTAATAGCTATTACTTGATCCGTCTGTTACAATATTAACATGTTACCTAACATTAACGGTAAGAAAATTCTGGAAGTGGGTTTTGGTGGATCCTCAAGATTGTTCAAAACCGCTCCTGGTTCTGGAAGGGGATCCTCAGGATGGACCAGGGCATTATCAAACCCAGTCTAATCCATCCTGAAGATCCACCAAAACCCACTTCCAGAATTTTATTACCGTTAATGTTAGGTAACATGTTAATATTGTAACGGACGGGTCAAGTAATAGCTATTTTGTTACACATTACCGGTAATGCTAAATTTTGGCATTAAAATTGTAATAGCATTACTTTGGCTCTTCGTTACGGCAAAATGTAAATCTGTATATATAATTTTGTATTGAATACATAAAAAATACGAAGTGTGAAATTGTAGAGCGCCGTTTATAAACGACAACAAAATTCAGTACTAATTGGTGTGCTTTCGCAACATTTCACAATATGTCGAAATAACTTACAGCTATTTACAGCTGATTTTGCCGTCAATTATGGATGGCGCTCTACAATTGTTCAAAATCTGACAACAAACGGGTGTTGCATCCCTTTTTCGGAGGAATTCCTATTGTCAACATGATCGATACAGTTCTATTGACATTCAGGTTTTCACGGTCAGATGACATTATAACTGAACATCATTTTCTTCATTGAATCATTGTGAATTTAATCTATTTTGTCTTTTCCATGCAAATGTGGTATACTTTATTAATTCGATCGAAGTTTCAAAACAATATTCCGTTTTCAAGTGTCATTTCAATTCTAACCTCAAACTTTTTCTGTGTGATTTCAAAAATACACTTGTGAATTGATTTTGTGTGTGTATTTGCTTCCGTATCAGAGATGACTGAAATGTGCTAAGTTAAAAAGCAATAGTTGATACACCACATTACATAATCCACACTGAATTACTGCATCTCTTCCATTGAAAGCGAATGTAGTTCCACTCTTAATGAACTAGGTGGCATATCAACTATAATCAACCTTAAGCCTACAGTTTTACCATGGAATTAGATGTATTTGGTGCATACGACTTGGTTTTGTTCAAATACGACGGGTTTCAGTGCCTCTGTCGTATGATTGACTATTAAGATGTCATTTGATCGTATTGAATTGAATGGCTCAGAGATTGAATGTTCTTCTCTCTCGATGCTGGTTACTTCCTTTTTGGTGTATGAATCCCCAACGCTTGTATACTCCCTTAAATGGAACCTAACCGGTGTATTATACAGTAACTTTACACATTTTACATCGTTGAAATCATCTGTTATTAATCCAAGCATCTTGTAGGCTTTGTTTGTTATTAATTCAATATTTTGATTCAAAATTTCATCTATTTAAAAAAAAATTGACAAGATCAGTCATCTCTGTATTAAATTTTTTCCCAGTTTTATTTTTCAATTTTTCCTCATGTCCTTCTACAAAATCCATCGTTTCGAATTGAATCCATATTACTTTATATACAGATATGTAGCTACAAACTAGCTATTTGAAAAGTTAATGATTTGCGCTAAGTGATTTCAAAAAAATTCTATTTTTCATACGGACAAAATTCAGTTGTCTTGACATTTCCATTCCTAATATGATTTCATTTTATTTATTTTTTTCTATTCAGCAAATGTCAACCCTACAGATGTTGTAGCTAATTTAGGAAGATGTCAAGTGTCAATTGTCTGAATATCTGTTCATTGTATACACATTCAGTGTAAAGTGCCATTTCATAGGCCAAATAATGATAATTTCATTTGATTTCATTCTTCAATATCATTAATTGATAACTAGTGTATTGGTTCAATACACATTTTCATTCAAATTCATGTTTTCAAAAAGACTTCATGTCAATTATATTGTATATATCTTAAGAGATCCAATTCCCAATTCAAAATAACGTCTTAATCTTATTGATATTCTTTCGGTTTTTGATTCTATGCTCAACAAAAACTTCATGGAACGCACTATGCATTGGATCTGCTCTTCTTCAGTACGGCGTGACCCAAGCGAACCATTTCGTCGTTGACACACATCTTGGTTGAGTCCAATGTGAGTTCCACGATGGCCTTTGATTTCTATAAAAATACAAAAGGTGTGTTTAGTAGAGTAACAATAGCGCCCTTTTGTCCTCATGTGCGAAAAATAAATAGCGGAATGTCGTCGAACTTGGAGTAGGTTTTCAAAGCTCGCTTAAAAAGTTATCTAATCTTTTTTTTTCAACATTTAAGGTACCGATGGAAAGGTAAACTCCAAGGAAAACTTTCTACTGGAGAAAATCTTTCGGGAATTACTTACTAAAATTATTTTAGTAAAATAAGTGATAAAATGAAATGATAACGCCTTTTGTTCCATTTTTATTGAATGTTCATTCATTTGTTCGACTTTGACAAGTGAATTGATTCCGATTTTGATTGTTTTCAACGCTTTGGCTAACGTATTGAAATCAGTCATTTTAAATTCGAGTTTTTGACGGTGTTACCAGATCCAACTAAAAATGTTTAAAAATTGCGATGTTTTCCTTTTGAAAAACCATAAATAAACATTTAAAACACGATATTTAATCATGAAAATGACATTTCTATGCAGAACAAAAAAAACACAATACCCGTCTTGGACGACTTGAGCGTTCCATTTAAGGAAAAAAAACTTGACGTTTTCGCATCATGTTCATGACACGTTGAACACATTCACTTATGGAAATCGACGAAAAGTCCAGCTTTTTTTTATGCAAAGAAACCTTTTTAAAATAATTTCAGACGATATTTTGTTCACAAACAAGGAAAATGTGCATTCAATGAGTGATTCATTTGTAGGAAATGACGTTCGCGAATGCAAATATCCCAGAAATGTCATTCTCCCATACGCCGTCCTCAGTTAGACGACATTCCCTTTCCAAAATGTGAATTTTAAATCCAAAAGTCATTATGATTTCATTTTGAATTTCACACTTACGATGTTGTCAATCTGGAGGATTCTTGCCCACAATTTTTCGCCATCAAGCAAATTGATCAATGCATCAACGCTTTCATTGGTGAATTCTTTTCCCATTGGTTTAATGTTACCCAAGGCACAGCACAACGCAGCTTTTGGAACGCTCCAGAACTGCTTTGGCAGCTTGCGCATTTGGCTGATGTTGATTATTTCGCGACTGCCATGGTCGATGAATGACACCTTTTCGAGAAAAAAAGTCTTTGGTCATTTTTCATTTCAAAAAGAGTGATTCATTTTGTAAATACCCGCAATGACTCTCCCATTTTTGTGTCTAACGGTTCCACACGATGCCACTGGCCCATGTAGTTGACAGCAAAATATTGTTGGTTCGATTCATCTGGTTCGGTCACTTTCAGATCGTCCGAATGGCGGTTACGGCTGTAGAATTCTCTGAAAAATGAAGCAAAATTGTCAATTCATTGATTATATCCGAAATATTATTCGAATTATAGCATGTCAAAATCCGAATGGATTTATCAAGGCCAAAATTAATTCCAATTTTTCCTTTCACTGAAAAAAATCCGATAGTCAAAATTGTCTTCTTGAACACTTACTGCATGTCTTTGTACATTGTGTCGATTTGTTTCTTGTATTTCTCCTGACGAACATGGACCCAGAACTTCAACGGGCTGTTGGCGTCCGAAAGTCGGACTGGAACTGTATCGCCGATATGTAAATCACCCAGAACTCCTTTGATTTCGTTCTGTTCAGTTTCTTCCTCTTCGTCTGAAAACAAAGGGTCGGCCATTCGTTGACGCAATAATTCCACAGACGACGGTGGAACCGGAACTTCTTCTGTGTCCGAAACACCATAATAAAAGCTGCTATCGTCGGTATTGGCTTTGTTCTTTGCCGGGGCTGTCGGTGGTTCGAGGTTGTCCAATTCGTCATCCCATAGGTTCTCGTTGGATGATTCCCATGTTAGTTTTTCAGTCGTTTCTTTTGTGATTGCAGGTGCTGTCAATGCTACGGCGTTACCTTGTGGTGGAGACTTCTGCTGCGGTTGTGGCTGTGTCTGTGCCTGTGCCAATGGCTGTTGATTGGAAAAAATGTGTTAGTATTTTTAAATCCCTTTGATTCTATTTCATCCTTTTCAAAAAATAACAAAATTCTGAAATTCTTTTTGTGTTTCGTTTTCTTTCTTACTTGTGATCCATTTGGTGACAGATTCTTTGATTGAATTTCTTCTTTCTTTGCTTGAATTTTGATGTTAATTTTTTCAAGCTGCGATTTTATTGATGATCTTTTACCGCTCGATGGTGAAGAATCGTTCGATTGTTTTGAGTGTGTATTCAGGTTTCGACCTGGACCGCGTGTGCCGCGTGCACCCATCAAACCTTGCTGTCGCAACAGATAACGTTCTTGACTCTGTTGTAGCCGTTCTTGGATGCTTTTCTGTGAACAAAAAAATCACTTACAGTCAGTCAAAAAAGTATTCGGCCACTTGGATTTTTTTTTCATTTTCAAACAAAAATTGACAACTGATGAAAAGTTTGGCTTTCCCTTTATGACAGTTCTTGATACGAAAATTTTTATTTGTGCATATTATCATGCTAATTCCTTTGAATTACTTCATTTTCAATCTTGTCTATTCGTAAATTTAACGGTATATCACCAAGGATTGAAAATAGTCTAAACTTCATTTGCCTTTCATTTCTAGTTATTGCCAATATTTTGTTAATGGGCAATCAAGTGGTCTCTCTACATGTTGAACTTAGTTAGAAATGGCTAAAACTATATCCAAATGATAGAATAAGACCTAATTCATACTATAACTATCAATTTGGACATAAACCATTTCCAAAGTCTCCGAAAAATGGCCGCTTTCGTGAATGAGGAGCCGCCAAAAACTAGTTGTTGGCCATACTTTCACCGAATTTCCGCAAATTTCGTAGAAAATTTTGATTGATATCTTTCATTTTTGTCTTATACTTATCCTATTTCACGATTATATAGCTCAACATAAATATTTATCACAAAAAATTCTTTTCCAGTGGCGCTAGATCTTCGATTGGCCGGTGCTACTACCATTCGGCCAAATTTCACCCTGCAGCTGACACATTGATATTTGAAAACTCGTGAAATGGCTTGAAATCACTGTAAATATTAGTAATTCATCGTTTTGCAGCGTCTATGTTGATACTTCATAGAAAATTTTGTAGAAATTCTCAAATGAATCGGTTTGGCCGAATACTTTTTTTGCACACAATTTCGACCTCTCGATAAACATGGCTACAGAAAAGGCAAAAATCATGTTGAATATTTCCGGAATTGGCCTGAATTTATAAGAACAGATTATAAACTTAACAAATAGATAGAAAATAGTTCGGTTTTTATATCACGAAAGAAACCAAAAATAATTTTTTTTTCAAGTTGCCGAATACTTTTTTGTCTGACTGTATGTTATTGTACATTTATTCTCTAAATATAGTATATCGGTATCAAATCGGTTGTCAATAACAATCAATAGTGCATTGGAACTTGTATTCACACTCTTGTATTCAGAACATCTTGTATCCACACTCTTTCTCTAAATGTTTCATCTGCAGCACAATAGTAGCAACCGAAAAAACTAACCTGTTGGAAATGTGATGATAAACCGTTGTTTGTGTTTGCGAATGGTTTGTATTGTACCAAATGCGGCATCGACGGTGAGCGGTTTCGTGTCACCGGTGAGCGGCGTCGTGTCGTCGGTGCTTGATGTGCCCGTGACGTTGTTGCCTGTTGCGAAGCGTGTGCACTGTTGTTGTTGCCATTGTACGCACTGTTAACGAATATCGAAAAACAAAATGGTTTGCATTTACAATTTCATTGCATGGAAACATCACATTTGATGCATGTCAAAAAATGTCCAATTCTTTTTCTCATTTTTATTTAAATCCTATATAAGCCTCTGTCATATTATGTGAGCAACACGCACTGAGCATTGTCAATGCGATCAGTTGTTGCTAAAAACCTTCTTGTTCATTTGTTTCCGAAGAAAATAAAATCAGTGTTCGTTTTTTATCTAACAACACCAACTGGCCAATGTGTGCAAACAAAACTGTTCATTCTTATGTTTCGACCGTAAAACAAATAAAATGTCGCAACGATGCACATTGCGTCGCTTTAGCAGTGAATGTGTTCTTTGAAATGTTGTTTACATGAAAACCAAAGATAGAAAACGAATGACAACATTCAGTGGGGAAACCATGCTATGTTATATGATTCTGAGCAATGCGTATACAAAATGAACCAATGAGATCGACTTCAACGTCGAAATAAGCAATTTACTACGTATGTTCGTTCTTACCGTGGTCTCGGTTTCTTGTTGTTGTTTTCTTCTTTCTTCAACTTCAGAATATGATCCGACTTTCCATTGGCAATGGGGTAAAGAATCTGTTGCATGTCGCCATATTCAATTCGAATGTTCTCCGACAGTTCTTCTTCCAAAAAGGTGAGCAATGAATGGTAACCGAATTCAGCAAAAGGAATTTTTTGTGATTCCATTCCTTCGTATGCTTTGTTGAATATATCGGCAGCAATACCGTTTGGATAGAGATTCATGAGCGAAATAATCACGCGCTTAATGTCGCTCAAATCGGCCATTTTGTGTCTTTGTGTTTATTTTTCACTTATTTTCCCAATTCTTTAACTTTTCAGCTAATTTCCTTCCGAATAAATCGAAAATTTAATGTTTTTTCATGGAAATTCGTTGTTATTGCAAACTCTTTCATTCAACTGTCACTCTCGCTCTAAACTGTGATCGCAGTTTGACAGACACAAGGGTCCGATACAGCACAATGTCAGGGTTACACAGTGAGGTTATGTCATAAGTATAAAAACGCAGTTACGATTCGAAACATACTTACCGATATTTAAATCAAATTTGGCATTTTTCCATCTTTTTTTTAACAACATCCAGATTTTTTTTCTTCTGTTTGGCGGTATTGACATTTTCTGCACAGATATTTTCTGTTCCCGCATAAAATCATGCATTGGAATTTTGCGATTCAATTCATTTTTTCTTCTTCACCTGCTGCCAAAACGTTTCGTTCACATCACAAATTTCTTTACCAAAACAAATCTTCTGGAGGCTAAACCCACAGCAAACACATTGACAAGGAAATCAAACAGCGCATTTTATCAAATTGTAATTGCTTAAAGTTCGAGAAAATGTTTTATTTGCGATTTCGAAAAAAAAAGTTTGTATAAAATATTCAATAGAGCGAAAATGCGGGATGAGCAATGGATCGAACATCGAACATTAGACGATAGAAAAAATGGTGTGGAGTGAATGGATAATTTCAAAAGGTCCTTTTTTGCTCATTCAATGTGGCATGAATGTATATAGCTAAGCTATTGCAATGTGATTTGTTTAATTTTGGTGTCCATTCGGATGCACAGTCAAAAAATATATATATTTCCATTGATAATAATCATTGTATTTTTCTTTCATTTTCAAATGTTTTTACCCACTACTTGTAAATTGGTTTTGACTTATCAAAAAAAAAAGAGAAAACAAAGAAACATTTAATTTAGAAGACACAAAAATGAATTACGAATAATGAATCGGTTGATTTTTTTAGAGCAATATTTGATTGTTTCAAGCGATATTAAAGGCATATTATTACACAACATAATTGATTTTTTTTATTCCATAATTTTTTTTTTGTCTGTTCTTGTTGAATATTCCTCGGAAAAAAAATTCACGGTTCATAATTTGTTGTTTTGTTTTATATCGACATATCGGAAGAACAATCCTCAATTGGGAGAAAGTGAATTGCCGACGAGCGCGCGCGCGTTGCCCATTTTTAGAGCTCAACCGGCAAAAATGGCAAGCCGTCATCGATTTGGTTCACATTCAATATACATTTTACAATAATAATATTTAATACTCATGTTGCTTTTTTGTTTCTTGTTAAAGATAATTTCTTGGTCTCTGGTGTTGATGATATTGTTTTTTTTTTGTTGTTTTCATTTTGTTGCTTGTATGTGTTCGATTGTTTGCTGTTGTTCATTCAAATGGCTTAAGAATAATTAATTATTTATATATCAATATTAAGTAGCGGAATTCTAGTTGGATAGATTTTTTTTTTCTTGTTTTGTTGTTGTTCTTGTTGTTTTTATTCCGAATAGGTCCTGCAATAAAATGCTTGAAAAATCCACATTTCATCGAAAGCCGTGAAGCGCGTTGAACCACCACTCTTTACCAGTCCTCTTTGATTTCGAATTTCCAGTCCCATTTGAGGTGCTCATTTTTATCGTCATCCGTGAACAGTGATGTGACCGAATACGTTCCACGTGTCATCATACCAGATGGAGCCTCCTCGAATGGCGTCGTGTAACTTTGGATTTCTGCCTTTGGCGGATACGAACCCACCATATGTGTCATTTTATCAACTGCAACGAGGAAATGGAAATTAGACATTTGAAGCTAAACATTTAACAAATCAAAATCGTCTCAGTGAGCAAGCTTTGTTGAACCCACCAACATGAATCGTTACATTTAAGCTCTTTTCAGCTCGACTTGTTACCAAGTACGGCTTGATTCATTACCAAATTGTCAGTTCAACAAAGTTCGACTTGGCTAAGTGCTGGATTGAACAGATTCAGGCTGACTGGATCTTTTTTCCAACAAAGCCTGTTGCCAACGATCGATGATAATATTGAACGAGGAAACTTCAATCAAAAATATGCCTCAACTCACCTGGCACTAGCATTCGATAGGTTTTTTGCACATATTTCAAACCGTGCACAATTTCGCGCTGCACTATGAAGTCAATGCGAATTTTATACTGAACACCCTCTTTGATTGTGAATACTTGCTTCTTCAATTTGGATATATCGCCCGACAAGTCTAATTCCATATCATCTCGTCCGGGCACACAAAGTGCCAGCTTCTTAACAATTACTTTACGTGGATCATTTGGATCTATGGTTTAGAAGAAGAAGAAAAATTAAACAAAATTAAAAATTGCACTGTTCAGTGTATGACAACATTGAAATGATAAGATAAATTGCAATAAAATGGAATTTGTTGATTATTATCTTTCAAGGCAATTTTCAGCGGAATTATGATTTGTTGTCGATTTTCTATAACATTCCATTCCAAGAGACAAACCTTCGGTTGTTATTTTTGTTGTTCAAATGTTTCATTCACATTTTTTCTTATAAATTTATTTTTTTTCTCAATTTTCTTTCTACTAAAGAATAATCTATTTATCAATGGTTTTTTTTTTTAAAATGCATCGTCAATTAACTTATAGTGATTATAGTGAGCCATTTTCTTTCATCACTCAGCCTCTTATTTCCCCATCCGATTCGTTCAAAACACTCCCTCTTTAACAACAACAATTCAGTAAATTGAATTTACGGTTGTTTTCAACATTTTGTCCTACAATCAAATTCAAAAAAAAAATTGTGGTCACACACTTACCGACTATAATTGTCTCGGATTGAGCGGCTCCCAGCAATGCTTCCTTGTATTTGCGTAAGCTTTCATCCTCTTGATCGGCGGCAACAATTTCTTCGATGGTTTTTTGTGGTGGTGGTTGGTAGCTTGATTCAACTTCAACGCCGTTATCATTTTCATTTTCTACATTAATTTCCTTGTCGTTTGACATATTTGCTGAATTTGTTCGGTTCTTTCTTTTCTAACTACGGTTGATTTAACCAAAAATTTGAATCTTTCTTTGCCAAAAGATGTGGATTTTTAATAGAGCTGTAAGTAAGAGAAAAAGATTATTGTTGAAAAACAAAAACGGTCTGTTTTAAGTTGGAATTTCGTATGATTGGCTTAATGTGTCAAAAATGGTCTTGGGAGTTGGTTTCTAATGGTTTATTTCCGTGAATTTTGTTTTTTCATTGGTGCTCGGTTAATGTTTGTGTATGTTTTAGGAAATAATTTATGTGTTTGAGTCATGATTTGCATGTAAATAAAAAGGCGGCGTTCCCCGAAGGGAAATAAAATGTCTAAATTTCCACGGGTATACAGTACATTTGGTGATTTTATATGAGAAATGCTCACGCATTATTCGCGCGCGACAAAAGTCGAAGAAAAAAAAGTGTCGAGCGAAACAACGAAAAACGCAGTGATTCACTTAAATTCTACTTAATTTCATATTATATTTTTATCCAACTTTTTTTTTTCATCGTGTTCATATATATATGTTTGCATGCACGCACACATTCGTTTGTTTAGCTTTCTCGCTCGCTTATATGATTAAAACAGATATTCCACACAGTTGGAGTGTATAAACAGAGAAATGCGTTCACAACAACAATGACAATATAGCTTGGCGACGATGATAACATTCTTATTTTCTGTTGTAGAAAACGATATGTAATTTTTTTAAAATCATTTTTCGGCTTTTGTTCATTTTTTTCATTCTCGTCCAATTGATATGACTAGCAAAATCATTTCAAGTGTTATGAATTGTGACGAAAGACGAACAAAAAAAAAACGTGATTTTTCATCGAAGCGTTCGTCACCCACTCAAAATGCGGAACGATTTTTGATTCATACAAAGTGCGATGGTTTTTCTGTTTGAATTTCGATCAAGGAAAAAACAAAATGAAACACAACCGCATGAAATACCCGCAAAATCTCTTGTAAATGAATAGCTCATGACAAATACAAATAATATGAGCTTGTTGTTTTGTGGCGATTAGTCATCATATCACAAGTGAGTGAAGGAGAGAGAGACGATACACACATCGAGACTTCGATCGAATGCATAGCGACGAGATTTAATCACACACAAAATCAACAGAAGAAGAAGAAGAAGAAGAAAAAAAAATGAATTGAAATGCAAAACGAAACGACTAATCATTATGGGATGTAATGAGAAGCTTGAAAATGAGCGCTGAAGATAGAACTTCAATTACACCAAATTGAACGGAATAAACGAGCCGAAATAACCCCCAGTTGCTAGTTTTAGTTTGACAGATTGCTGCGACATCGACATCACTTCGTTCTTTTTCTTCTTTGAATTAGATGGAGTTTTTGAAATGCGGTTTACTCTGATTAGCCGCCGCATTATTCATTGTTGTTGTTGTTATTTTTTCGGTGTCTATTATTTGTCACGATTATGCTTCACATATCACATACACACACACACACACACTCGGCCACTCTCTCACTTCAACTTAATTTGTTTAATTGAAGTCAAATCAATTATTGTTTTGCTGCGATGTGTTCATTTCATTAGGCCGATTTAGGAGTAGAAAGAAAACAACAACAACACCACACATAGTGAGAGAATGCAAAGCCACACGGTCCAAAACTAGCCGCCATAACAACAACAACAAAAACACCATCATCATCGACACCCGGGTGCAACTGTTTGGTGCTCTATGACTGACTGTGTGAGTGAGTGAGTGTGTGTACGAAAGCCAGTTCGATGAATTCGAACTAATTAAAATGATTTTGCATGAACTTCTATGTCACCGATTTGCACCCGTAACGTATTAAATGTGCATAAAATATGCAGTAAAAATCCTTTGACGCTATTAAGATCAAAGCCATTTTGCGAAACCGTTCGCATGGAACAATGAAACACGTTTCTTTATTATCATTTAAAACTTGGAACATAAAACGCCTAGTCAGCAACGAAAAAAAAACAAGAAGAAGGACAATTTTGTCGTCGCCGTTTGTCGATAATCTTCGAAATTTTCTTCACCCAGCCACCAAACGCACTTGATCGTGTAAATGTTCTGGATTTGTTTTGGGTTCGTCTATTGTTTTTTTTTCAATGACAATTCTTTGCTTTGATACGTTGTTAATTCGCAGTTTTACGTCGCAAACAGACAAATTTGATCGCAACACAATTTAAATTTAAAAAAAAGTCAATTGTTTATTTTCTTGTCGTCGATACTCTACTCGCTTACTCGCTCTGTTTTTTTTTTGTTACGATAAGCAAAACCGGATAAACCCTTTGTCGAACGATCCAACGCGTATGTGTATTACAACACAGCTACACTTTTTTTTTCTTTTCGCATTTATTTCTGCCCAAATTTCGAAGCACAATGTTTAGACGAACAAATAAAAAATTACTTTAACCAAAATTTCCTCTCTTGTATAGAAGAAAAAAAAACACCGACAAACAAAAGAAAAGACAAACAAATAGAAAAACTGTATCAAACTAACCGTGAGAGATGAGCAACAAGCGTAATGAATATACGAAAAATTGTGAACACTTTGTGCAAAATACCACACAATTCGATGATGCAGAAATATTGCGATCTGTATGCGATTTTAATATTTACTCTCGCGATGTTCGTTCGCTGCTACAGAAAAAAAAATTTCTTCTTCTGTTTCTCTTTCGTATTCTTTCTTTTGCTCCCTCTCGCTTTTTTTTTGCTCCCAAATAAGTGTTGTGTCTTTCTTTCGGCTTCAAAGTTTTTTTTTCGGACAGTCTTATTCTCTGTCGCTCTTTCTTTTATCTCTGGATATGGCGTGTGTTATACACCGCGAAGACACCAAAACTGTTCGCCTTTTTGTTCGCTCTCTTTCTCTGTCTGTTGTATGTTTTTTTTTTTATTCTCTTTGTTTCGTTCCGTATTTTGGAATCAAAGTGGCTACATGTATATATAAGACCGATACACACAATGCCTGCTACTGCTGCGACTGCTAATTGTCGCATGTACATGTGTGAAAATGCAATGTTTTTTTGTATTCTCAATTTTTGGCAACTGTCAACAGAGACAGAGAAAGAGAGCGAGAGTTCATGTTCGAAATGCCTTCAAGAGGGCGATAGTTAAAAAAAATTTGATTCTTTATGCAAATGCAAATTTTTTCGTCATGAAATTTCACCGAAATGATAAACAACAACAACAACAACAATGACAACGAAGACAGTGTGATTTTGAAATGTGGTCTTACAAACGAACGAACGAACGACAAAAAATTCCATTGAGCTGAAATATTCTAATTTGGATTGACTTACGAATGCCGGTTGTTTTCAACCAATTTCAACACCAAAATATATAGTCACAAAATACACTTTGTCGGGATTTGGAAGAGAAAAAAAAATCGATCGACGAATTTTTTCTCGTTTTTAACACAATTTTATTACAAAAAATTACCCAAACGAACAAACGAAACCGAAACGGAACAATTGAAATTCTTAAATGTATTCTACGAACTGTGGATACGTACGTATTTGAGTCAGTGAGAGAGTGAACCGAATCGAGCAACGATGACAGGCTGCCTCTTACAAACACATGCACCAACACATACACATTCAGGCGACAGCCAAACAAAGACCAATCACACTCGAACGCATGCACTACGACTCACACACGCACACACACACAGAGCGCGCATATGTCGGTGAGTTTCGAATAACAACAACCATTACCTACGCCCAGTTTTATGTGTGTGTGCACGCCGTCACACTCAACAATCCATACAGTCTGAGCACACACAGTCAAACACAAATGTCATTTGTGTAGTTGCATTTATTTGCGGGAAAATATTCAACGAAAGACGCTTATTATTTTTTTTTGTGTTCATCTCGTATAGTCGACCGCACACCGATTCAATTCTCACAAATAGAAACAACCACGTTTGGATGTCGACCATTCGATTGTAGTACAATTTTTTCTCTCGACAATTGTTGTTTCTTTCCTTTAAGTTTAGTTTAGTTTTAACACATCAATATAGCACTGAATGAACGGAACCGTTCGGTGGTGATTATTCGTGCTGTTTGTTTTCTTTGTCCTTTGGTTTTAGTTGAAATTTTTATCACATTTTCGGAAAAACAATTGAGTGCGACTAGTTTAGTTTTGGTGCGATAATTGAAAAAATGGCATCGAAAAATAATGGTAAAGTTGGTGTTGACTGGAAGAAAAAAGTCAAATCGGAATACACATTGATTTGCAAACAAAAGCGACATAAACGTGCCGATGAAGCCAAAATGGCATGGAACCAGAACCGGTAAGTTTTGAAATCGAAAGTGAATCGCTCGGCCGTGTTGTGTATGCATGCGAATTGAAGCGAGAACTACAGTTATTTTTCTCTTTCTCTATAGTATGAACATCAAAATCTTCAACGAGGATGATCAAACTGAGTGGAACTCATCGGTTTTAATGTGGGAATCAAAAGTTGTTGATCCGCCGCATGTCAATTCCATGAAACGAGCCGAAGTCACATCATTTATCGATGGTAAGTAGTATATACGAACACCATTTTTTTCCAATTTTTCCGCTTGATCAGCAATTCGTTTGATTTTGGGTCTGTTGAAATTTGCATCGTTTATTTTTTGAAAGTCAGTTTCCTATTGGCACTGAATGTAAATAACAGTAAAAATGTTTATACAAAATGCTTAATTGAAACGAGATAAAGAAGTTGGCTCGAAATGAAGCAAAGAGTTCAATGATTTCTGAGGATGAATATTTCAATATATTTCGAAACGGTTGGATAATGTGATACTTTGGATTTTTAGGTAGTGTTCAGCGTAAACCGATTCGTTCAATACCGGCTGTTACGCCGATCCCGACAATGTACATGTGGGCACCGACCCAACAAAATTTCATGGTCGAAGATGAAACGGAACTCCACAATATTCCATACATGGGTGATGAGGTGCTTGACAAAGACGGCACATTCATCGAAGAACTCATTAAGAACTATGATGGTCGCGTTCATGGGGACAAAGACAATGGTTATTTGGACGATACATCGTTCATTGAATTGGTGAATGCGTTACTAAATTATCAAGAGCCAAGCAGCAAAGATAATGCCGATAGCCGAGATAATTCGATGCGTGAACTACGCGGTCGACCATCGATCAGCGGTAGCACTGATGATAAGAATACAAAGTACACCAAAATCAAAGGACAAGGTACACCAAAATCAAAGAATGATTCACTGTTGCCACCACCACCGGCACCAGGTGCAGACACAGCTATGGACATCGATGAAGTAGCCAAATCATCCACACCGAGAGAGTCCACCTCATCAGCGGTGAAAGATGAAAATACCGATTGTAATGATAAAAAACCATTCCCGTGCTGGGGCATCTTCGAAGCAATCAGCGAACAGTTCCCAGACAAAGGCACTGCCGACGAACTGCGCGAGAAGTAAGCTATGAGTTTTTTTTACATTTTTCATTAACAAATTGTTGGATTTTGTCCGAGTTTTCTATTTGCTGTTGGAATTGAATTTCGCCTAGTTACTAGCCACCATCACTAGCCCAGTTATTACTTTCAATGCATTTATTAAATAATCTTTTCACATTTTCATCAACAGATACATAGAGTTAACGGAACGCATTGATCCAGATCGCCCACCAGAATGTACGCCAAACATCGATGGGCCAAAAGCGGAAAATGTATCACGTGAACAGACGTTACATTCATACCACACACTATTCTGTCGACGGTGTTTCAAATATGACTGCTTCTTGCATCGTAAGTTCGATTTTCTCTATCTCTCTTCCCCCGTCTTCAGGGTAGCTTAGTCGATTGTCGTTTGCTTTTGCCAGCAACGTTGTTTTTTTCTCGTTTGTTGGACGTCGTCACGTCGTTTTATTCTTTGCAGTGTGTAAATAAACTGAACCAATTTTTTTATATCTCTTTCTTCACCATATATTTTGTTTTTCGCTTCATTCGAAAATTGTGCGTTCTTTTTGTGTTTGATGTCTCGACAAACACATTCGCACATGCCAAACCGAATATAAATCAACAGGCCACCAACTTCATGGTGAGTTTTATTGACGCAGAATTTAACCATTTGCACCAATATATTTCTCTTCAGTTTCAACGCAATTCTCTTAATTTTTATTTTCTCCTGTTTTTCATCAATTCTTTCATACTTGTTTTTGTTTCGTTCAGATTTCGTTTTTCATTTGTTTTTCGACAATCTGTTTTCTTTGTTTTAATTATTGTTCTATTTTTCGCACAAACTTTCAAAATTACGTTCGCTTTTTGCTCACACAAAAACCAAACGCTGACAAAATCGCGGCATTGGAATGATAACATAACCTCTCATTCACATTTCATCGGACACATTTCCATTGTCACAGTATTTTTCATGCAAATTTTATCATTCTTCCATTAAAATAATTGGTCATCAACATGCAGATTCAATTCAAAGATGCAATACATGGGATATAATGTTTAGAATTGAATTTATTTTTGGGTTTGAACTCCTTACTCTACGAAACTCTTCTATTTTGTCGTCAGGATTTTTTTTGACTGATAACATCAGCCTGATATCAAGCATAAGAATGCTCAAGTTGGAAATAAGGCTTTCTTCATATGACCTCGTACACACATTGAAATTCATTCATTTACCAGACCGTAATAGACGAATAGACATTCTTAAATCATAACACACACAGAAATAATATCAATCAGCTTGATTCAATACACTAACTTCATCCGTTTTTATCACGTTGACCGAACTGCCTTTGAATTTCTACCATTTTTTATTAACACATTATCATTTTGTATTCATTATTTTTGATGAGTCTGTTTTTTCTTCAAGTGCATTTTAATTGTTTTTTTTTTAATGTCAATTTTTGATTTCATGCACTTTTTTCCGGTTGAACGAATCATTTTGATTCGTTTGAATTGAATAATAAAATTAAATTCTGAGATAATATTCTATTGTCCATTGAAATAGGGCTGCAAGCATGTCATCCGGGACCGAATTTGAGCAGACGTCGTTTCATGGATTTGAAACCATTCAGCGAACCATGCAGTACCACATGTTATATGCTTTTGGTTAGTATAATATCGCATAAAAGTCATACTAAGACTTATGTATCCGTTGGTGACAGTATCACCGTGACACCAGTTACAATCATTCGTCATTCAGTATTGTTTTTCTGATTCGAACCATACGAAGAGGAAAATGTACTGTTTTTTTCGCTTCCGATTCATAAAAGTTTCAATGGAACTGTCATTCATTCAAATTGGTGTGATATGATCCAAATAAGCTCTTCTAACCTCTAAATCGCTAATTATATCTGAAATAGGATGGAATGAAGGAGAAACTAGCCGCAAACAAAACGAAAACCCCGCCGATGGACTCGGGTAATGAAGCCAGTTCGGAAGACAGCAATGATAGCAATAGCAGCGATAGCAAAGATTTCACTGCTCCAGCAACGAAAGATGGTCCATCCGTATCGACAACGAACACAGACGATATGTCATCGTTGGTCGAATTATTGTGCTCCAAAAACGAGGATTGTGAATGGACGGGATCAGATCAATCACTGTTTCGTGCTTTGCATAAAGTCTTTTTAAATAATTACTGTGTAATTGCTCAAACGATGCTCACGAAAACATGTCAACAGGTAAGCAGTGGCCACTGGCCATTGGATTTTGTGTGACATTTTCTTATATAAAAACAATCAAAAGAAGACTTTTTTTTCAATTTAAAAGCGGTATTTTTCTTTATTCCTACTCAATTTCACTAATCTCAACCACGCATCTTCTGCAGGTATATGAATTCTGCCAGAAAGAGATTGCCGACTTGCCACCAGAGGATGTGTCGCTCGATTATACACCGCCACGCAAGAAGAAAAAGTATCGGCAGAAACAATGGTTGACTCACTGCCGAAAATTTTTCCCATTGCGAAAGGATTCGGTATCGAATCACGTATACAATTTCTCACCATGTGATCACCAAGGGCCTTGCGATGATTCGTGCACGTGCATCCAAACGCAAAATTTCTGTGAGAAATTCTGCAATTGCAGTGGTGATTGTCAGAATCGGTTTCCAGGTTGTCGGTGCAAGGCACAATGTAACACAAAGCAATGTCCATGCTACTTGGCTGTGCGCGAATGTGATCCAGATCTCTGTCAAACGTGCGGTGCGGATCAATTCAATTTGACAAAGATCACATGCAAAAATGTTAGTGTTCAACGTGGTCTGCACAAGCATTTGCTGATGGCGCCGTCTGACGTGGCCGGTTGGGGCATATTCCTAAAGGACAGCGCACAGAAGAACGAATTCATATCGGAGTATTGCGGCGAGATTATCTCACAAGAGGAGGCCGATCGACGAGGCAAAGTTTACGATAAATACATGTGCAGTTTTCTATTCAATTTGAATAACGATTTTGTCGTTGATGCCACACGCAAAGGCAACAAAATTCGATTTGCAAATCATTCAATTAACCCGAACTGCTACGCCAAGGTGATGATGGTGAATGGTGATCATCGCATCGGTATTTTTGCCAAAAGAGCGATCCAACCAGGAGAAGAGCTGTTCTTCGACTATCGATACGGTCCAACGGAACAACTCAAATTCGTTGGCATCGAACGAGAAATGGAATTTTTATAAATCATCATCTACACCCCCCGCACGCACCCAATGTGTGCGCACTCAGTTTTGAGTTTATTTTTCAGTACCCATACAGGAAATCAAAACATACAAACACACTCAGCATTAAATCTGATATCGAATTCATTTACCTTTATTTACTTTAACTTAACTTATAACAATCGTTCATTTTTTTTTCTCGAGTACAGTATATTCAGAAAAGTTGTGCTTTTGTGCATTTGGGTTTTCTCTCCCATCAAAATAAATACAAAGTTACTCATTTGAAGAATGAAATTGTGTTTTTCTTTTGCTTAATAAAATCTTAAGATTGGAATTGTGTATTTATAGCTTAGACGGTTTTAGCAACGTTGGCAATGATCGGTTTTGGTCGTGTTTTAAACACCAACTTCTTGCGGACGATTGCTCGGACACGGTATTCGGTCGTTGTTTGACTTTTATGCTCAATGGCAATGGTGGAGTCCAGAACGGTTCGATTGGCTGTGGTGTCAAGGTTCGCCGTTTGATTCAAATCCATCTCTTCAATCTCTGCGGCGTCGGCATCACGAACCACCTTTTCCAATACGGCAAATGGCTTCTCCATTTTGTGCTCTTTTCCATGCAGAATGTGATGACCGATTATTAAAATCTATTTTAAAATGATACGAAAGAAAGATGGGTAAAAATGATTTGAATTTTGTGAAATGGGTAAGTCCTAATAATAGATGAACTAATGTCAACTCCTATAGATTGGAATTAGTTTCGATGTTCATCGATAGAAATAGAAAAATATTTGAATTTCATATCTTTCTTACATTAAGAGATTATACATATCAACTATACTCTCTTAATATGGAAACTCTTACGGAGACATACTTCATCTCTTTCAAAGAGGAATACGAAAGCAGAAATAGACACAAATTGCCAGTACTTAAACGAGATGTTAAACACAATTCTCTATAATTAATATATGCGGTTGAAATTCGATCAACTCTGTGCTTGTGTAATACTATTTAATCAATATTCAAAACGGTATATCGATTTTCTGCAAATTCTATATTTATTTCTCTTTTTACATGTTATTTAAAACCTTCGGTTTCTTTATAAATTAACATGTGTAAACATTTATCAATAGATAGCCGCTCACGTCGAACTTCATATTACTTGCAGACCGCAACTACCACAAGTTGTGGTAATCATAAGTTCATTCATAAGAAATAAATACCTACCGGTTGCCCATATTTATCGTAATTCAAATCACCGATAAATTGGTTATCCATCATTTCTTCGCCGCGCACTTCCAAATCACCTTGTAGCTCCACGATGCCCCATTCTTGCAATCCGCTATCGCTTTTCCTGTGAATTGATCAATCAAATTCAAAAACAGTGTTCGCAATTGAAAATTGAATTATCAAAAGGACATTATTGTGAAAGAAAATAGTTAGAACAGATGTGTTTCATGACAGTTTCATAACATATCTTCCATATGGATATGATGTGATAACCATTGAATAAAAACAGTGCAATTGTTTGAATAAACTTAATTTTAATCAAAAGACTGAAACATTGATTGAAAGAATGAAAATAATCGGAAAAGACGTAGGTAGAAAACATTTTTCGGAGAAAATCCCAAGCAAATCGATTCACAGGAACAATATAATAAAAAACAAAGAAAATTTTCATTCAACTTTTGACAGAATTGGAATTTTGTCAAACAAATGGACAAATTCTCAGCAAAATGAAGTGAATTTCCTTCAGAAGAGAAAAAAATCCTCAAAAAGGGTCATAAAAGTCAACACAATCTCCACAGGAACTAATTCAACATCTGAAAACCTAATAAATTATTTTCCTTTACAAAAACCCATTTCATTTCACATTTTTTTGCAGATTTTTTTTGTCCAAATTTATTTCATGTAAAAAGGTCAACAAATGAGCATTCGTACAAAAGATAAAAAAAAATTTATCCTCGGAATTTCTTAAACAATGGATGAACGTTGTGAGCGGCTTTACGTCTTTGTTCATAGTAAACGGCATCGTCGCCGCCAGAAACCGAGCTCAACCCGCCAGTTCTCTTGACACCACCGCGATTGGCAAATCCACCTTCGCCCGGTAGTCGTTCGTCTTCACAATCAATGTCTGACGCTTGAAGCACTTGTTGTAGTAGATGTCCTTGTTCTTCTCGTGATTTGTAGAACAAATCAGGATCATTATCCATGCCAGACAAATGTGTGATCACTTTGTAGCTGTAGCCTTGATTCACCAAGAATCGTTGACGTTTACGTGAGTAGTTCATTTCCATTGTGTCTTGTGAAACGAGCGTATAAAAGAAGGCGTTGTATTCTTCGGCAACGGCTCCCTTTTTCGCACGCAAAATACGACCCAAACGCTGTGCCTCTTGACGCCGTGAACCGCCGTGCGATGAGATTTGGATGAGTACATTTGCTTCGGGCAAATCGAAACTGGTGTCAGCCACTTTACTCACAAAGATTGTGTTTACTTTGGGATTGAATTTGAAGTTTTGCAATATTTGGATACGTTCATTCTGCGATGTGGGACCATAAATGTACGGTTTGTTCATTTTGATGGCGTAATGTTTCAACGCGAACACATTATCACTGAACACAATGGTTTTGTCGCCACGTTGCTCATGGTATTTGATGAGAAACTGTGTGGCACGGAATTTTGACGGGTTCATCACATACAGCAATAGTTTTTTGGATGTTTTTGTCGTGAGATATTCATTGTAGAATTCGGGGCTCATAGGGCACCAAACTTCAGCGCACTGCACACGTGCAATGAAGCCTTTCTTCTGCAATTCCAACCAGTTGGCTTCGTACAGCTTGGGACCGATCAAGAAATTCAAATCGGCAATCTTATCATCTTCACGCAGCAGTGTGGCCGTGAGACCGAGTTTGCAGTGACTCTGAACGATGGTCAATACTCGACGGAACATCTTTGCCGGAATGGTGTGTACTTCGTCCAGAACCATAATACCCCATTCTTGTTCTTGAAGCCAACGCATCGTTTGTTCCGCTTCCCAGGAACGTTTTTGTGTGTGCGTTATCATTGAATAAGTTGTAACTAAAATACCACAGCCCATTGGTTTGTCTTTTGCATCAGATGTGAACCGGCAAATCATGCTGTCATCAGCCGTTGACCACATTTTAAATTGTTGTTTCCATTGTTCGACCGAAACGCCGGAGTTGCAGAGCACAAGGGCTCGCTTGCGTACCGTACAGCATGCAGTAACGCCAACCTGAAAACAGAAGAACCGGAAGAGAAGAGGGAAATTTAGTTGAATAAAAACAGAAAAACACCACGAAATCCTTCAGAAAGAGTCGCTTTGGAACTCACCAGTGATTTTCCCGCACCGCATGGCAATACAATCACACCAGATCGAGCACGTCCGTTGCCAAACATTTTACGCAAGCTTTTCTCTTGATATGGCCGAAGAACAGCGGCTGGTTTCAGATCTATATTGATATCTGGATTAACCGTATCATTTCGAAAGTCATATTCGGCCAGCAGTGGATGTTCAATTTCGATGCATCGTTTTTGTAATACTTCAATTTTTTCCTGGTTCACCTCAAATGACACAGTATTTAGGTTAAGATTTTCTTCGTCATCTTCGTTGTCAATTTTATCGTAGAAATTGGTGATATCGTCTGGAACAACGGTGGCGCCGTCCACCGGTGCATTTGATTTGTCAATCTCAGTTTGCCCAGGTGCTGCCGCACCGCTTTGTGCATTTTGATTGAACAAATTGGTTTTGGTTTTATCCGCTGCACTGACAATAAATCCATCGCCTTCTTCTTTTTCGCTGCGTTTCAATCGGCAGCTTTGAACAACGGGATCTTTTAGAATTTTCTGCAGGATTTCCGGATGTGGACTTTCGACAAAATATTTATTGTGCTTTAGCACCAATTTTACTTTACCGTACGACAGTGTGCACAGTTGTATGAATTCGATGATACCTTGTGGTATTGACGTTTTGCTGAGCCGCTTCAAGTATTCGATAATATCATTTGTTTGCAATCCAACTGAAACAGCCGCATACAAACTGTACGCCGTAAGTTTGTACTCGTGAATGTGTTCCGGCCGACACACTGGCTCCGAGATGGCGATCAAAAAGTCATGAGCATGTTTGTAAACGGGTGAAAATGATTCCAAAAAGATGTGACCGTTTGGTGCGACCCAAAGTGGTCGTGATGCATGATCAATTTTCAATTCCATTTGCGATCGATAATCTTTTGCACCATATTCATCTTCATTCACCGATTCATCATATTTTTCGGCATTTTTTGCTGCTGCAGCTGGTATACCACCGTCTTCATCGAAATTACCTTGCGAACTGTCATCATCGACGTACACATCGGTTTGATACTTTTTATCTACGCACCAGAGAAAGTGATTTGGATTAGAATAAACCAACTTTAATGCGTGAACAAGCACTTGGATCGAATTGAATTCAAAACCAAGCCCTTGAATTTATGTGTAAATTGGGCAAACATCTTATCCAAGCGGCTTATAACATGGAAAATGGAAAACTTACCATATTTTGATGATGCAGCTAAACTAGCAGCCTTCGATGAGTCGGACTTTTTTGAGAATTTCTTTGGTGGTGCCATTTTAATTCACAAAACAAATGCTTACGTTCAAAAGTGAATGCAATAAAATACTGAGAAAATTCGTTGCATGAATTTCATTTGGTGCGATTAGCTGTTTTTTTGTCGAATTTCTTGCAGCTAAACAACAAAACGCCACCAGTCTCTGTGAAAAAGCAGCGAATTTCACAATACACAAATGACGTTTGATGCAAACCTAACCTCAATGTTATGGAGAACAACAGAAAAAAAACCCGACACACAATCCAATGAAATCGATTTGCTTTGTGATTTTCTTCAGCGAAACCCCGATGGAAATTGATTAAAAGGCTATGGACTACTTACGTTTTCACTAAAATCGGCATTTTCCACTGGGAATCTGGCGACGAAAATTAAAATTGGAAAATGTTGAATTGTGTAGCAAAACAATGACACGAATTGGAATTTCGGCGCCAAAACAATAACATTGACTGGTTGCGATGTGTTGAAAATGAATCGATGTTATTGAGGGGCGGTTTACACGTGCCATTGGTGTTGTGACAAGCCATCGAGTGTGCGAAACGAAGTCGAAATCAATTCAAAAAAAATTATTTTGAAATACATGAAGAAACGTTTTTCTAGGCGAAATAAAATAAAAATCGCAATTGTTGATCGCAAAACCAAACTTTATTATTTATTCGTTTGTTCCATTTCGATCGCATGAAATGGTAAATATTGAATTGTGCATGAAAATGTGGTGAAAATAGTGTATGTGCATGTCTGAACTGTCAGTGGCGTGTGTATCGACCGAAAATGAAAACAATACATGTGCAAACGCATCGGAGCACACGCATACACAAAGGCGATACCCCCAGACGGCATTAGTATTTTTATCAAGTGGCTGTGTGCACAACAAACACACAAACTCAATCAACCAAATTTCTTGGTCAAAACGGAGATAGCGACAGGCGTATTGGAATTAGTGCAAGTGAGAGCGCTGGAAAAAAAAATCGAAATTGATGCTTTTGGCCTGGCCGAAACACGAAAGAGAAGAAAAAAAACGGTATTCACATATCCTTTTTGAGCATTTGTTGTGATTGCAAGTATACACGGAAAATCGAATGAAAAGAAAGAACTGCTGTTGCTGCATAATTCGGTGCGCACTATTTTTTTGGTAACCGACGCAAAATTCGTGAAAAAACAACAACAACGGGAATTCTATCAACGAGATATAGATTATCACCTCAGCGAAGAATTTGAATTACCGCACGGATTTTATTGATTGGAATCAAGAAAGAACATTTTTTTGAATTTGATTTTATTTCGGCCACAAAATGGATGCGTAAGTTGCAATTGAATTAAAATTTGGTATATTAAAATAATGTTTCTTATACAACTGGAGTTGACATAATGATAACATGAAAAGTGAATTTTTTTTCTCGATTATGAAAGTCAAATTTCCTTTTCTTTTGTTTCGATATAGGCTTTTGGATGAAGTTGAATCATTGGAGGCGATTTTGATGGACGATGTCAAAATCACAAAAAACTCCGACACGTAAGACAAAAATACACCTTATCTCGTAAATAATGCGGAGAAATCGATTGAAAAAATCGTGTTTGTTGATTTTACAGTGGCATTCCGGAGATGATTGAAACGATTGTATTGCCAACCGTTGGCGAAGAGGTTGAATCACAATATGTTTGTGTGACATTGCAAGTAATGTTCACCAAAGGGTATCCAGACGTTGAACCAAAGTATCAACTGAGAAGTCCACGTGGTTTGGATGATTTCAGCATCGATGCCATTCGAAAAGCAATTGATGTTAAGCTTACGGAATCGATTGGTGCACCGGTCGTTTTTGATCTGATCGAAGTGATTCGCGAACATTTGACTCATAGCAATCTACCAACGGGCCAATGTGTTGTCTGTTTGTATGGATTTCAAGCGGGCGACGAATTTACGAAAACTGAGTGCTATCACTATTTGCACAGCTATTGTTTGGCCCGCTTTATTTCTGCATCGAAATGGAATCATGATGAAGAATGTGAAAAACTACCCACATGGCAACAAAAAACCATCAAACCGTTTCAGGTAAGACACTTTGGGGGGGGGGGGGGGGGTGGTTTGGACGCGAGTGAAATGGGTGGAGATTTTTCCTTAAAGTGGAAATCTTTAGAGCTCCCTCCATTCACATCAAAATCAGTTGAACTGTTGACTTCGTTTCAATTTTTACCTCAAATTTTTACCTCAATCAAAGAAAAAAATCGGCAAATTTTAAACTTAACAAAAAATTTATGATCTAACCGAAAAAAGAATAGAAATCAGTAACAAATTGTTTGAACAACAAATCAAATCCATGTAGAAATCGAATTTGCTCCATTTTCAGGCCAGTTGTCCAGTGTGTCGTGAACCAATTAGCAAAGATGCCGAACCATTGCGTGATGCTGCCCAACCGGTTGAATTACAAAATGCCCCCGATTTCGAATTAACCACTGAAATGAAGACGATGCAAGTTCGCATGGCCAATTTGTATATGCATCAGATGAAACGTGGTGGAATTATTGACTCGAATGCCGACGAATCGAATGTGATCTCAATCCAAAGTGAAGATGCCAGAGAAGAGGTAATTGCTATTGACATGTCTAAATCCTAGCCTTATCTCCGAATCTGGTCGTTATAGGAAAAACTCGGCCACCCTTTTATAGGTGGCCATGCAAAGTGCACCATTTTCATCATGAACTAATCCAAAATTAATTCCGTATTACAGCAACCTCGAAAGAGTAAAAAATCTTCCAACAAACCGCAACCAACGGAGCAGCAATTGAATCAAGCGCGTCAGGCGGCTGCTTTGGCGCTTCGAAACGCAACAATGGTTAGGAACGAGGATGAAGATGAAGACGATGATGAGGAGAACGATCGTCGTCGTCACCATGGTCGACGCGGTGGTAATCGTCACAAGAATGCACCGCACAAGCGCAACGGCCATCATCAACGAGTTCAAGCAGCGAAAATCAGCGGCGGTGTAAACAATGAGACCGACCAAGCGAGTGGCTCAACTAAGAGATGACAATCGTTTGCCAGTGCAGTTCACATCGATGCGATTCTCATGCGATCCATTGATTTCAGTGCAGCAGTTTTGAGCTTGATTTCACAATTTGGTTTTTCATGATTTTTTTCGCTCAATGTTCCTCCCAGCGAAACAGCACAACAATCAGCATTCCAAATGAATTTTACAACAATAACAACAAATGGAATATGTTACCAATACGTACATCTCGAAAGCGATTTTTGAGCCAATCTCTTGTTTTTTTCGTTACGAGCACTTTGTATGACTGATTTCAATTCGTCGAATCCCTCGAAAGTCTATGTTTTTTTTAAGATTTTCAAAAAGCGAATGAGAAAAACAAAATTAACCAAAGAATAAATTCAACAGTAAATTACTCAAATTTCGAATATTAAAATCAAATTGAATCGAACGGCCGAAAAGCCAGTTGGGCGTTTAATTCAATTCGCTTTTTCATATTCCGAATCGATTTGAGATTTGAGCTTAGCAAATGTGTTGGGTAAAGAAAAGTTGTGAAACAAATGTGATTTATCGCTTACGAACTCAACGTGATAAAGAAGCAAAAAAAAACATGAAAGGAGAAGAAGTTACAGAGAAGAAGAAAACTGAAATTATTGAAGGCTTACTCAGATCCTTAATGTCTCCGTTACCAAAACGCTGACCAATTTTGCCAGAGCAATTAGTCATTCATCTTCATTTCTTCATTATTTTTAATTGATTTTACAGTTCTTCAATATGCGCGCGTCATATTCGAATTACGGAATATGTTTCGAAGCGTGAGCATATTGTTTGATTCAAAAGGGAAGCAATTACTAGCATCGCATGTTCAAGTTATTAAATTTTGCATTTTGTTCGGCAAAAGAGAAATTTGGGCTGTATTTTTAGCCATGGGGTGGACATGATGACGAATTTGCTGAATCCATACGAAAGTTTATGAATCAATTTGAAACTTGCAACATGACAGTGATACACACATGTGCGATAAAGTATATATATAAAAAGTCTTAGTCGTTTTTGAATTGATTCAAATCGTTGGGAATTTTTGAACTGGATTAAAATCTTGAATCCAGTGTCTACCTTATTGGCGCTTACGGTCCGGCACTGATCGATTTTTGTAAGAATTTCATTTGAAGAACAACAGAATCATTTTAGTAAGATTTTTTTAATCAAAATTGTTTACGTATTGCATTCAAGGGCACGCTGGAAAGACCAGATTCCTGCTTCTATTGGAGAAAAATCTCCTTTTCCCAAATTCACTGAATATTATGAAGAAATAATGAAAAACCAATAATGTCAGAGTGCTTCAAGATACTCAAACTTAATTTATTAAACATTGTCAATGTGTAAAATATTGTGTAATTTTTGTTGTAAATTTCATTAACTCTTTTTTAAGTTGAACGATTATTTTGGAGAGCTAATGAAACACAACGCGAGTCGTATTCATCTTAATCCTAATCTAAGAGAATCATTGTTTAAGTAATCGTGATGTTAATTTAAATGAAAACAAAAACTTAATTTTAGTACAATCACGTACAAATTAATACAAATGAATCAAGAAAATGGAACGCATATACTCTCTAATGATGAATAAATGTTTGTTCAAAACACAAATTTAATGAAATAAAGAGAAAAAAAACATAACATTCGCCAAAAATATACAGTTGCTTGCTTTTTTATTTGAGGGGGAAATTCTATTCGTATTATTGATGTTTGAAAACAACTATTTCTATACAAATCAAAGGGCTTTAAGGATAATCCGTAGTTTTTCAGAGCGCACAATCAATAGACCCATACTTAAAGGGTGTTTTTTAACGTTTTTTTTTAATTTCAAATAAATATCGGAATTTGTACCTTTTAATTGAGATTAAATTTTTTTTTTTAAAAAACACCCTTTATATGCAAGCGGGGATCTAAACGACTGGAAACATGTTCTGAGAGATTGATGGAGATTCATCAGCGTCCACAAATATGTAAGTTAATGAAGATATAGAAAAAATGAATCATTTCATCACCTTGCCAAGTTTTCGAATGTGCTTTATTGTAAAGTTTTATATCTCCATTTATCTGTTGATTCAACTCAAAGTTATCCCATGAATGCGTATGGTGTGAATTACGTTCAATTTAATATTTGATGACATCAGATGACTTGGTTTTGTGTACGCTAGACCTAGAAGCAACGATTTTTCGCCGACTTACCTTTCTCTATAGTTTCCAAGCACTTGATTTTTATACATTGTTGGACTTCAGTTAATGGGGTGTTTTTGACGTCGTCTTGAATTATTTTCAAACCTCTATTTAGAATACGTTCTCCGTCCATTTTTTTGTTAGCATACAATCGACAATAGTATCATCCAGAATCACAGGGAACCGATGAAATTTTTTTTAACCACGCGAGCAAGTTTTTTTAATCACGCTTTAAAAAAATAGCATTTTCCTGCATTTTGTTTCTGCATTTTGTTTTTCCGAAATATTGAGAGTTTGCTTTATTGCTTCGATGAGCAATAGCACTTGAAATAATCGAATAGAATGGAATGAACGAATTGGCGAAAAATAATTTTTTGAACTAATCACACCATCCGCTTGCTTCGAGTATTTTATATTGCGTCCTATGAAGAGCATTTTTAAAAAATATTGAATGCCGAATTGAATATATATTCTAGTGTATATTCGGTGTATTCTTCAGCATGAAACATATTGAATCAACGAATGCATTGATGGCCACCAGAGGGCGCCTGAATATGTTTCAATATGTTTCACGCCGAAGAATACGCCGATTATACACTAGAATATATATTCGATTCGGCGTTCAATAAGCGTGAATATATATTGTAGTGCATTTTCGGCGGATAGACAGCGTATAAACATATTGGCCGTTTCTCTTGGGATGCTAAAGCACTTTTACTTCCAGAAAACATTGGTCTGTTCCACAAGATCGATTCCACAAGATTCACTTCCAGCTCCGCGAATATTTCATGAACGCTATTTTTTAATATAATCCGAAAACAAAACTAGTAAAAACTTTTGAAATATTGGCTGAGCTGGAATCTTGTGGAGTAGGTGGACCCGACCTGGTCCAATGTATTCTGGACGTAAACGTACTTCAGCATTCGACCCTTCGGGACGCAGAATCGATTTATTTTTGCCGAATTCCGCTCGGATCAGCCTCAAATTTGATTTCTCAAATCTGGAATTGTGTACTGCGAACTCGGTAGCTGATAATTTCTGATAATTCAAAACCTACAAATGTGCAGAATAAGGAAAGACATTAGACGTAGTCATTTTTGCATCCGATATTAATATACGAGTCTAATCCTTATATTTCTTTGCAAACTCTACATTGTTGAAATCGCCGCAAGGAATTTCGCCCATCCTTTCGGCGATTTCACAATTAGCAAAAAATGGTGTTTGATGACAGTTAACACTTTAGGAATTCATGCACACTAGTTCACTCTAGTCGACAAACTTCGAATTCATTGTCAAAACAACCTCCGACCAATAACAACCACTGAATCGACGAGCATTTTTTTTAGATCATCCTAGTGAACGAGGAATAGAAAATATGCCACAAGTGAATCAAGAAACTCAAACTCAAACTCAAACTCAAGGTAAAATTAGTTAGACTGAGCAACATCAAAATAAATCAATATCAATTATATTTTGTTTGGTAAAAAAATGTATATAAACTTATGAAAAAATTTCCATACAACATCAATAAACACATCACACGTTTGTTCAAATCCGTTGAAGTATTTGTAGGTTTTAGTTCATTTCTAAAACAACTCAATTAATTGGTTTTAGCATTCAAATATTGAATTTGCAATGTTCAATTACGTTTTTTTTTACTAAATATTATTTATTATTTCATAGTTTCTGACAGAAAGATCAATACCTATTTGAAACTGTTGGCTGATTTTAATGAAGAAAAGCTGGAAGTATTGGAGATGTTCAGAGAGACAGCAGATGACGAGGATTTAAATAAGGTCTCTATGGAACGTTTGAAAGAAATTAACAATAGAATCATATCCTTGTTTAATGATTATGTGAGCTCGGCACCACAAAATGGCCATGCACAACTCTATTCAGGACTATTGTCTGGTTTTAAGAAAGAAAGGTCGATCATATTTGGGATGGTGACGGAATGGGAATTAAATGGAGATCAACTGGAAGTTTATATTGATCGCTTGAATGAAATCGACAGTAAAATTGTGTCCCTAGTTAACGCTTATGGCAGTCTGGCACCACAAAATGACGACCAAAATACTGATATGTACTCAAGATTATTGGCTGGTTTTAAGAAAGAGAAATTGCGCATATTGGAGCTGATAAAGGAATGGGAAAACGAAGAGATATTAGAATTATTGAAAAATCGCTTAACTCAAATTGATAATAGTATTTTTGTCATGACAAAATGTAGCGATTAATAAATGTCAAAATAAAAATTATTCTCATCATGATTTTGAATGTATTTTCTTCGTACAAATATTCAATCAGGATAAGAAAATGCATTAGATGTAGTCATTGTCGAAATCGCCGTATTTTGTGCGAATTCACTAAGGATTGGCGAAATTATTTAGAAAAAATATGGTGTTTAATGACAGTTAGCACTTTACGCATGTGTGAACAACGGCTTCAATTGTTGTCAACAAACTTTGAATTCATTTCTAAAAAAAACCACTTATTTGACGAAGGTATTTTTTGAGAGCGTACATTTGGACAACGGAAAATAAAGAATATGCCACAAGTGAAACAAGAACCTCAAACTCAAGGTAAAATTGATTTGACTGAGTAAAATCAAAACAAAATATCATTTTCAACCATGTTTTGTTTGATCGAAAAAAGAGAAATCTATACAGATATACAATTTTTATTATAGGTTCTACGAGCTCATCTACTCAAAATGGCCAAAACAGTGATGCCTATTTAAAACTATTGGACGATTTGAAGTTGGAAAAGATGAAAATTTTGGCTAGAATGCTAACAAATCCGGACCAACGAGTTGCAGATGTTTGGAGAAAACGCTTAACGCAAGTTGGCGAAATTCAAAAGGAAATTCACTATTCGGATTTATTAGTGGATTATAAAGAGGAAAAGAAGCAAATATTGAAATATTTATTGAAATTGAGTCCCAGCGAGGAAATTACACGCAAACATTGGATGGATCGATTGAAAGTTGTTGATAATAGAATTAAGTCCTTGCTTGAAGAATTTTAGCATCCTGTGATTCATGTCAAATTTACATAAGATATAAACGAAAAAAAAAACATTATTGTTATCATGTAGTATCCGGAAAATTCGTTAGCATTTTTAATTCAAATAAATCAACAGGAAATATCCAATAACAAGTATTCACTGCGTTCCGAATGTATTTTTATCGTAACTGGTGTAGATACAAATACCCGTAAAAGTTCACAAATGTTTAACACATTAGCTTACATGGTTTTCTGTTGAAGAAAACAGTATGCCAAAGTGATTTTTGTTTTGATAAAATAACAGCAAAACTTTTTCCTTTAAATTTCTGGTAATTCAGAACCTACAAATGTGCAGAATAAGAAAGGGTATTAGACGTAGTCGTTGTCGCATCTGATATTAATATACGAGCCCAAATATCCTTATACTTCTTTGCACACTCTACATTGTTGAAATCGCCGCAAGGAATTTCGCCCATCTTTTCGGCGATTTCGTAATTTGCAAAAAATGGTGTTGGATGACAGTTAACACTTTAGGAATTCATGCACACTTAGACCACTAAAGTCGGCAAGTTTCGAATTCATTGTCAAAACAACCTCCGACCAATAACAACCACTGAATCGACGAGCATTTTTTTGAGATCATCCTACTGAACGAAGAATGGAAAATATGCCACAAGTGAATCAGGAAACTCAAACTCAAGGTAAAATTAGTTAGACTGAGCAACATCAAAATAAAAAACGTATAATAAAATTACGAAAAATTTCCATACATACTATTAATATTGTTAATGACAGTTGACAATTCACATATTTGTTTAAATCCGTTGAAGTATTTGTAGTTTTCAGTTCATTTCCAAAACAACTCAGTCAATTGGTTTTAGCATTCAAATATTGACTTTGCCATGTTCAAATACGTTTTTTTTATATACTTAATTCATTTTTTCACAGTTTCTGGCAGAAAGGCCAATATGTATTTGCAATTATTGGCTGATTTTAAGGAAGAAAAGCGGGAAGTATTAGATATGCTAGAAGATTCAGATGAAGATGACGAGGATTTAGACGAGGTCTCTATGGATCGTTTGAAAGAAATCAACAATAGAATCGTATCCTTGTTCAGTGCTTATGTGAGTTCGGCACCACAAAATGACCATGCACAAATATCTGATCTCTATTTAGGACTATTGGCTGGTTTTAAGAAAGAAAGGTCGATCATATTTGGGATGGTGACGGAATGGGAATTAGATGGAGATCAACTGGAAGTTTATATTGATCGCTTGAATGAAATCGACAGTAAAATTGTGTCCCTAGTTAACGCTTATGAGAGTTTAGCACCACAAAATGACGACCAAAATGTTGATATGTACTCAAGATTATTGGCTGGTTTCAAGAAAGAAAAATTGCGCATATTGGAGTTAATAAAAGGATGGCAATACGAAGATGTACTACAATTGTGGAAAAATCGCTTGACTCAAATTGACAATAGTATTTTTGCCATGCTTGACAAAATGTAGCGATTAATAAATGTCAAAATAAAAATTATTCTCATCATGATTTTGAATGTATCCGATTATTTATTTGTTTTTCTTCAAATAAACCATCGTTAAACGAACGAATAACAAATAATCGTTCGTTTTTATTCTTTCGTAATGTCGTTTACAAAAAAATGGGCTGTCGCACCATCTATAGTGATATTGTAAGCATTCATGGACATTTTATATTTTTCTTCGTACAAATATTCAATCAGGATAAGAAAATGCATTAGATGTAGTCATTGTCGAAATCGCCGTACTTTGTGCGAATTCACTAAGGATTGGCGAAATTATTTAGTAAAAAAATGGTGTTTAATGACAGTTAGCACTTTACGCATGTCTGAACAACGGCCTCACTTATTGTCAACAAACTTTGGATTCATTTCCAAAACAACCACTTATTTGACGACGGTATTTTTTGAGAGCGTACGTTTGGACAACGGAAATGAGTAAAATGAAAACAAAATATTAATTCTCAATCATGTTTGGTTTGATCGAAAAGAGGAAATCTATACAAATGTAGGATTTTTTTTTGTTAAAGCTTCTACGAGCTCAACTGTTCAAACTGGCCAAAACAGTGATGAATATTCAAAACTATTGGTCGACTTGAAGTTGAAAAAGATGAAAATTTTGGCTAATGTGCTTACAAATCCAAACGAAAATTCACCTTTCGGATTCATTAGAGGATTATAAAGAGGAAAAGAAACAAATATTAAAATATTTATTGAAATTGAATCCCAGCGAGGAAAATACACGCATACATTGGATCTACGGGCTTTTATCTCTATTTATACGAAATGGTTTATATGCGAAATGGTTAAAATATACGGCGTATACGCGGATTATATCTGAAATATGCACAAAGTATGCGACGATTAAACGTGGTTATACGTATTTATATGAAATATTCGTTCAGAGTTAGAAGCCCCTAGCATTGGATGGATCGATTGAAAGAGGTTGATACATAATAGGATTCTGTTCTTGATTAAAAAAATGTAGCATCTTGTAATTTATGTCAAATTTACATAAAATATAATCAAAAATAAAATTATTGTCATCATGTAGTATAATTAATTAAATTGTAGTAAATATTCTTTTGCAGTAAATCATCGGAAAACAAAAGAATGGCAAATAGTAAGCATTCAGGTATTGTCATTGTCATAGAGTTCAATTAAAAATAGAATTATCCGCTCATGTTTTAATGTCGGATATTTTTATGCGATATTTTTGTTGCATTCAACCAGCGGCACATGGAAGTGATCGCATCGCTGTGTACGTATGTGCATGTATTAGAACACACAATGGACTGACTGTGTTGAACACGGAACAAACAAGTATACACACAACAACTCAGCAGTAATGCATAGAGTCGAATTCTGTGTGTGTATCTGTGTCACAGATATCGCATAAAAATCCCCGATATTAATACACAAGCGGATATTTGTATTTCTTTGCGAACTCTGCATTGTCGAAATCCCCGCAAGGGTGGGTGAAAGTAATTAACAGAAAATGGTGTTTGATGCCAGTTAACACTTTACGAATTTATGCACACTAAATCACTTTGGTAGACAAACTTTGAATTTATTGTCAAAACAACCTCCGACCAATAACAACCACTGAATCGACGAGCATTTTTTTTAGATCATCCTAGTGAGCGAGGAATGGAAAATATGTCGCAAGTGAAACAAGAACCACAAACTCAAGGTGAAATTAGTTAGACTGAGCAACATCAAATTAAAATATCCCAATTATATTTTGTTTGGTGAAAAAAATGTATACAAAATTACGAAAAATGTTGTATGAAATTAATAGTGTTTGGTGACACGTTTGTTTAAATTCGTTGCTGTGTTTGTAGATTTTAGTTTTCAGTTCATTTCCAAAACAACTTAATTAATTTGTTTTTGCATTCAAATATTGACTTTACAATTTTCAAATACGTTTTTTTTTGTTATACTTTATTCACTTTTCCATAGTTTCTGACAGAAAGGTCAATACGTATATGCAATTATTGGCTGATTTTAATAAAGAAAAGCGGGAAATATTGGAGATGCTAGAGGAACATAAACTAGAGGTTTTTATGGATCGTTTGAAGGAAATCGACAGTAAAATTGTGTCATTGGTTAGCACTCTTGTGAGCTCGGTACCACAAAATGACGAACAAAAAGCTGGTCTGTATTCAGGACTATTGGCTGGTTTTGAGAAAGAAAAGTTTCAAATTTTGGAATTGCTAAGGGATTGGGATGACGCGGATAATCTAGAAGTTTTGAAAAATCGCTTGAGTCAAATTGACGATAGCATTTTTTTGTTGGTTGACGCAATGTAGCAATTTATGTCAAATTTACATAAAATAAAAATTATTTCCATCATGATTTTGAATGTATTCGTCAAGGTGCGGAAATAGTACGAAATTTCAAAAATGCCGCGTATTTTAGTTACAAAATAAACTCCACTTTACATTGATTTGCTATATACCTCAGTGGCGCTAGTATCGTGAATGGGAGAAATTGACAGCTCTTTTTCCGAAACCTGGTATTCGTATAATGATGTATCCGATTTTTTGCTCTCTGCAAATAAATTATCGTTAAATAAACGAACAACACATAATCGTTCGATTCTTTTCTTTCGTATTTCCTTTGACAAGAAAAATTGACTGTCACGCCATCTACAGTGATATTGTAAACATTACAGCATTGACAGCTCAGTCATATTCAATCAGTTGTCACATTTCATCGTGTAAACAACAATCGAAAATGGTTGGGTGTAAAATACAAAATTGTCCAATAAAAAGAGGAGAATGTACAATGTTTAGGTAAGTCGTTTGTTGTGTGCATTGTCCAATCTTTTCCGACCGTTTTACCGTTAATATTCATTTCAATTGAAGTGTGCCCTTCGAGCCAATTACCCGCAAAATATGGATTGATATCATTGAAAAATATCAAGAATTCGACTACATACCAATGGTATTTCCCCTTTGTGAGTTACACTTCGATGCCAGCGATATTATTCGGTATGGAAAAAGGACCAAATTGCAATCAGGAGCAGTGCCTAAATATTTCGAGTGAGTTGAATATAATCGAAAAACGAGTGAATCGATTCATTCTTCGACTTTGATCTCTTTCTTTTCTTCAAGAAATCTCGACTTCGATCGGCTGAACAGAAACGAACCAAACAAAAATTATAATCCCAAAAAGAAACACAAGAAATCTGAAGGAGCAAGTGAGGAAATTGAACCAAATTTTGACTTTGTATCAGTTGAATCTATCGTCAAAAATGAGCCGGACGCAATACCACTGTAAGCGAATTTGCCCGGTGATTCGAAATTCAAACAAATCACCAATATCAAAGCGTAGAAAAAAATTCTCCCCTTCGTTTGCAATTGCAGAGAATATGAATATAACGATTTGGTCTCTGAATCCCTCTCAGTATGCGATGCAAGTACACAAACCGAAGACGTAGCGGAATCACCGAATGGGAAATGCCATGGCAGTACTTCAACCGAATCAGCTCAATCACAAAGGTATGTCATCAAGCATAAATCGATATCGCCAACAATGACACCAAAGAACTCACCTTTGCGAAACGATGACTTGATAGCGTTTATACTTAAAAATATCATTTGTTCTTTCTCAGGTTACCCCAATCGAAAATGGACACCGCAAATATATCTTCTAATGAAAACGAAGTGACCGTTTGTATCAGTCAACGAGAATATGCCCGTCTCTTACTGACTGATTTGGAATGCATCAAAGCAAACGAAAAAATCAACCGTTTAAAACTCAAGTGCCAAGCAAAAGCAAAAGAAGTCAAACAGTTACAAGACTCACTCTCTTACCATAAAAAGAAATTATCGGAGTTAACAAAACACTCACAACAGGAATGACCGCGAAATTTCATTTACTATTCGATATCTTACAATATAACTAATTTATACAATCGAAATAAACAAAAATTTTCTGTATATAGGGTAAGATGGATGCTGTTGATCTCCTAAGCCATTCACACTTTTTAAGGATTCATTTTTGCCGTTTCTCTCTTCGCCTTATCAGCCAACCATTCCTCTCCATGTTGCTGTTTTCTATGTTTGTACATGTTTGGCCTCCAAATGAACGTCTCATCACAATAGGTGCACTTGTAGCTGGTCTTGTTCAGATGCGTTGCGATGTGGTCCTAAAGTAAATGTCGAAATTTTCTTTAAAAGTGTCATAAACGACAAATTTGGTACGAAAATACACACCTTCAGTGTTGCTTGTGACTTGAACGACTTCTCGCATAAATGGCATTTAAATTTCGATTCACAGTGAACCACGCGAATGTGCTGTTTCAATGCATTTGGATTAGGGGAAATTTTATCACATTGATTGCATTTCTGCGGCTCTGAATCGTGTGTCAATTTATGTTCAGCCAATTTGTATTGGTTCGAGTACCATCCGTTGCACACATTACATTGCCATTTAGGCTTTGAACTTCGGCTTGTGTGTGTTCCCTGATGGGCTTTCAGTTCCGGTTTTGTTTTGAATGTCTTAAAAGAAAAGTTAAATTGTGAAACCGATTAAAAAATAAAACGAATTACACACGTATCCGAACAAAATGTCAAAAATTTCAAGAAATGTTGATTTCAGACCAAATTTATGGGTAAGTAGGTGTTCAGTTGTTTGAAGGCTCCCATTATTTTTGCAAAAAAAATGGCAGTTTGGCTTGATCGAAACCCTGAAAAATGCTTTTTTCGGGTACTTCCCGTACAAAAGTGTCATTTTTCAAGGCTTTTCAGGTCCTCAGTCGGACGCTTATGGTACAAAATTGGTAAATCAGAATGGGCTCAAAATCAATCCGAAGCTTTGTCTCGACATGCCAAAACTTTTGGCTTTTACAGATCTCAATTATCTTGTCAACTTTTTGAGATAATCAACAAAATGTGGCGAACAAAAAACGCGAACGCGAACGCGGACGACGCCATACGAACATCGCTATTTTACACATTTTTCATAGTAAACAACATGTTTTTGGAAGCAGATAGGTCTTGATCGATAGGATTTGTTCCCATCTACATTTCCTAGTGTACAGATATGTGCTTTTTGAAGTTTGGCGTGACGTTATAGTGGTCCGAAAGAGGAGATGTCATGAAATTTTGGCTAGTAAAACCAATACTTTTTCATACAAACAAAGTTTGCGGAAAAGTAAAAGTTGAATTGCACTCCTCTGACTGATTAGAATTCGTCTTACCTTTGCGCAGAACTCACAAATCTGATCGTGCTTTAGATCGTGTCTTCTACGATGGTTATTTAGATGTTTTGGGCTACGAAATCTATTTGGGACGATAAATACATTTTCTGATAATTTAATCATGATTATCTGAAATGTGTACTCACCCTTTGTCGCATATATCGCAAATAAAATTGCGCTGTTTTTCACTATAACGATTCTTATGTATTTCCAAATGGTCTTCTAAGTGATTTCTACGTGTAAACGACTTTTGACATGTGTGGCAATAATACTTATTTGAAGGACAATCATTGTGTCGATTCAAACTCAATCGGTTTGGAAGTGATTTGTTACAAACATCACATCTGTTTTGAATCGTTTAACAACAAAATATCATTTGAATTACTACAGTTTCAGTTAAATTACAGAAAACTCAAGTCAAATGCAAAGGTGTTTTAAAATTACCTGAAAATATCCGGATTATTGTGCCATGCAATGTGGTCTCTGATATGAGTTAATTTTGAGAACTTCGTCTGGCAGCATGATACCGACCCGACTAATTTGTGAATATCTAAATAATGTGATTGCATTTCTCTGAACGAGGTAAACGTTTTTACTGGACACAGATCGCACGAAGCATCGACATAGCTCGGTATCTCTATGTCATTTCCATTGCTTTCATTTGAATTAGTTTCAATCGATGAAGAGCTCGGTTGTATTCCTGGATGTTTGAGTTCCATATGAGTTCTGTGGTGTGCGCTGGTCGCATAGTATCGATCACAAATGTTACACATAAATTGCTTTGTTGATAAAGCATTATGCCGTTTCACGTGATCAATGAGGGTATATCGATGCTTGTGTTCTAGCTTGCATACTCGACATCTGAAAAATTCAATGAAAAAAACTCTTCATATTATGATATCGTTATTCGTCAATTGAAGTAAGCAATAGAATAAACTGATTGAAAAGAAAGTTCATATCGTTATAATTTTGTGTGTTTGTGTATAACCTGAAAGTGTCTGGATCGATGTGCCATTGAACGTGATCCAAGACTGTTCTGTTACTATACATTTTAGTTCCGCAACATCGGAGATAGCCTTTTGGATTTTTATGTTCTGATGAATAGTGTGATTTGGCCATTGTGATACTATCAAGCTGAACATCACATTGTTCACATTTTCGATCGAAATATTCCTCGATTGTATTTTTGATCTGTACCTCGCTTGTATTGAACTCCATAGATTTTATTTCGTTTATATAATCTGCAATGAAATCATTCAAATTGAATACCAACAATATCCACAAGGCTGTTCAATATAAGAGACGAGCTTGTACAATGAAAATTATTTACCTTCTAAACCATTCGAATGAGTCATTTTCAGGTGAATTTCCAAATGTTTTCGAGTATTGAAACTTGTAAGGAAAAAACTTAGATTATGACTTCATTTCATTGAAATAGAGCATTAGCTTACTTCTGATCGCATTGATCGCATGGGAATTTCAATTTAGTTGAATGTACTTCAAGAATATGACGTTCAAGGTGGGTTAATACAGTAAATACCTTCTGGCAAATGTCGCACGTGAATTGGTTGAAATGTGTGAGTTTGTGTTGATAATAAGATTGATAAGTTTTCTTTAGTTCTCCACATACCTGGCATCTGTTTTTTGGCAGTAAAGAAATTTGTTTTACTTATTTTACTCTTCCCAACTTTATATTGAATTCCACTGCTGATTCATCTAGAATCTCTTATTGACTCACTTGAACAATTCAGGATTCAAATGCCACACAATATGGGAATGGAAATCATAACTCCGTAACAATTTCATTGTGCAACATTTTACATAGCCTTTGGACTGATTGTTATGCGTCACTTTATAATGATGGGTGGCTTCTTGGAATGTTTCAAAATTCGCGTCACAATAATCGCAACTCATGTCGCAGTATTGGTCAATAATTTGCTGTTGTTGCTCGAGGCTGACTTCACTGATGTGCCGTGGAAGTCGAAGGCAATCGCCGCTCTCACGCAGCTCATTGCTATCAATCAGTTCATCGTAAGCTTCACTACCATCATCGTCCTCATTACCATCTGAGAATCCCTCTTCATTCCCTGACTCATAATGAAGTTTGCTTCCTTCTAGTTCCATATTCTCATCTCCTTCATCCATTATCATATTGATGGGCCTCAATAGGTCAACACAAACCATTTCCCGATGGAATTCTGGCTCAATATTTGAAACTGCGTATTCTGAAAAATTTAGACGAATCATGGACCAAATGTAAATGGCGAAGAAATGAAGAAATTTACCACCATAGTCTTCATCTTTGACCGCACTGTTGAGGTGTTGTCGCAGATACTCTTCGCGCAATGCGATGACCTCTTCGGAAAACTTACGAAATGATTCAAGTTTGTCCCAACATTCGATGCAAATTACTTTTGGCAAAATGTCCGAGTCGCTCACCTTCAAGGATTTAGAAAATTGTCCATTCAATTTTAGTCATTCCTTGACATGTGCTGATTTTACTGGAACGAACGACTTACCTCGTCGTGAAAATACTGCTTTAGCGTGTCGATTATAGTCGGCATCGATGCAGTATTCTCGAATATATCAAAGTATTCAATAGCTTGTGTATAACACAAACGACAACGATCCGCTTCCACTTTTACTTCCATCGCGTATTTTTTTTAGTTTATTCAGAATAAAACCGCAATTTCAACTAAAATAGTATTTCTCTGAATATTCTGTTTACAATGTGCGGTAGATTTTGTTTTGATAGTTCTGTCAAAGTCAAAGTGTCGTTTCATGTGAGTTGACATCAGATGGAGCTCAAATTCAGCCCAGCACATTGTTTTTATTTTTAACCGGATGAGGAGCCAAATTCGAAAAATGTCACACAATATTTTCGTTTGGGTCAAATATATGCAAATGATCAATACAGCGGTGCCATAAAAATGTTCAACATTAGAAACAAACTAGAGAAAACAGTTGTTGAGATTTGATAAAATCTTGGTTTTTTTAATGTTTCTATGTGGTAATTAAAAGCGTTTATTGATTTTGTGATTCAAATCCACCGAAAATATGAGATCGTTTTTCTGTTAGGTTTTTTAAATGGAAAAAATTTCATCTTCGGCCATACAAATGGGTTTACAAACAAGTAGGTCATTCGATTATTCAACAGTGGCCGACTTTAGCTTTATTATTCTACGAATTGTGTAAACTTCATAAACGACACCGATCCGGTTCATTCTTCACTTCCACCTCGTTATTTTTGTTCTAACCCGAATGTTTTGTTTATAATGTGTCAGATTGATATTGTTCTGAAGAGGTTTGTCAAATTCAGAGTGTAGCAAGTTGATATCATCGTAAAGTTGATAATTATCGGTTTAATAAGACGCTTCTGAATTGTATGAAATTATTGTACTTGGTCATCAGAAGAGATGTATTTCTCATGGATTCATTTTTGCCATTTCTTTATTCGCCTTATCGGCCAGCCATTCTGCTTCGTGCTCATTCTTTCTATGTTTATACATGTTTGACCGCCGAATGAATGTCTCATCACAATAGGTGCACTTATAGACCTAATTGTTCGTATGCGTTGCGACGTGATCCAGGGCCTTTTTTCCCTATGTGCGAGGTCGTGCAATGCACTAGGGCGCAACGGATCTGATGGCGCTAGCGTCAAAAGAGCGCCACAATTCGGGAGCTAAAACCCAAGCCTATTTGCGAGCTTCCAAATTGCTGCGCTCTTTGGACACTTGCGCCCTATTTCAATTGTTTGCATAGAGCGCTGGAGCGCCTTTTCTGCTCGCATTGATTATGAAATTTTGCTGAAAAATTTTCTTTTCTACATGAGCGCCCAAGCACTTTCGGCGCTCTCGCACAGAGACTTTTCACCCCGAAACGAAGTTGTGTAATGAACAGTGGCGCCCGTGGGGCAAAAATTGAAATAATAGATCATTTCTAGGGGCGCACATATAAAATTTACACAAGGGCGCCAGAGGAGTGAAAAAAGGCACTGACGTGATCCTAAAATAAGTTGTCCAATCCAATTCAGAATGAAGTGAAGACGAAAAATTATGTAAAAATGTTTTTAAAAAAATTGTATTTTTGATACGTGCACACCAAGGATATGACGTTCCAAAGAGTTGGATGCAGTAAACACTCTCTGACATATGTCACACGTGAACTGGTTGATGTGTGTGCGTTTATGTGAATCATAAGTACTTGGATTCGTTTTGACCACGCCACAAATTTCGCATCTGTTTCTCGACAAATTGATTAAAATGTTGTAAGGATATAAAACTAAAAAGGTAACAAAACTTTAAGTTTCCATTAAACTCACTTGAACAATTCAGGATTCAAATGCCACACAATATGGAAATTGAAGTCATAAGGCCGTGGAAATTTCAGTGAAGAACATTTCACATAGCCTCGCGGCTGATTATTATGCTTAACTTCATAGTGCTGAATAGAAATCGCAACTCATATCAAAGTACTGGTCAATGATTTGCTGTTGTTGTTCAGGGCTGACTTCACTACTCTCTGGCAACTCATTGGAAGTGAACGCTTTATTTTCATCTTTAAAAGCATTGGTATCAGAGAATCCCGTGGGGCAAATCACTCAAAATAGTAATTGCAAAATTTAGCAGTAATTGCACAAGAAAAAAGTAATTGCGAAAGTAATTGTTGATCAGCAATTACTACATTTTTCTTGCAATTACCAATGAAATTACTTCTTTTTAATGCAATTACTTTTGAGTGATCTGCCCCTCGGAGAATCCCCGTTCATCCATTGACTCATATTGAAGTTTACTTTCTTCTAATTCTGTATTCTCATCTTCTTCTTCAATGAACATTTTTATGGACCTCAATGACTCAACACAGACCATTTCCTGATGGATTTCTGGCTCAACATTTGGAATCGTGTATTCTAGAATATGCACAAATATCATGGACCGATGGTAAATGGCGAAGAAATGAAGAAATTTACCTCCATAGTCTTCATCTTTGACATTGTTGTCCAGTTTTTGTTGCAGATATTCTTCGCGCATTGCGATGACCTCTTCGGAAAACTTCTGGAACTCCTCGACTTTGTCCCAACATTTGATGCAAATTATTTTTGGCAAAATATCAGAATCGTTGACCTTCAAGTATGTATTGACTGTAGAGTTGTTATGGTCATTTGTCGAAATGTGCCGGTTTTATCGAGTCGAACGACTTACCTCATCGTCAAAATACTGCTTCAGCTTGTCGACTATAGTCGACATCGATGCATTATTCTCGAATATATCAAAGTATTCAACAGCTTGTGAATAACACAAACGACACAGATCTCGTTCCATCTTTACTTCCATCTCGTTCTCATTACTTTATTCGTTCCTTCAGAATAAAACCATTAATTTTCAAATAAAACTGTATTTCTCTGAATGTTTTGTTTACAATGTGTGAGATAGATTTTGTTTTGATAGTTCTGTCAAAGTTAAAGTGTCGTTTCATGCGAGTTGACATCAGATGGAAGTTCTGTTCAGCACAACACATTGTTTTTATATTGAAGCGAGTGAGGAGCCGAATTTGAAGAAAGAGGGTAAGATTTCAATATGTTTCCTATGGTTTCTTTTTTGCCGCTTCTATCTTGTCTTTATCGGCCAGCCATTCCATTCCGTGTTGGTGTTTTCTATGTTTATACATGTTTTGGCGCCAAATGAACGTCTCATCACAATAGGTGCACTTATAGCTCTTCTTGTTCGTATGCGTTGCGACGTGATCCTAAAAAAGTTTTTGGTAAAATTCAGAATGGAGTTTGGAAAAATAATGTAAACATATTATAAAACCGCCGTACCTTTAGTGATGCTTGTGACCTGAGTGATTTGTCACATAAGTGGCATTTGAAATTGGCTTCACTATTGTGAATGTACCGAATATGCTGTTCCAGTGCATGTGTATTAGCTGAAACCTTATGGCATTGATTGCATTTCTGTGGCCCTGAATTGTGTTTTGTTTTGTGGTTTATCAAGCTACTCCGGCTTGCATACCATCCTTTACATATATCACACTGGAATTTTGGCTTTGATTTAGGTGCTACATCCAAATGTTTCGACTGATGCTGTTTCAGTTGCGCTTTTGTTTTGAATTTCTTAAACGATAAAATATTAAAACCGATTAGAACCGTTGATTTGCACTCTTCAGACTGATTTGAATTCGTCTCACCTTTGCACAGAACTCACAAATCTGATCGTGTTTTAAATCATGTATTTTATGATGGTTATTCAGATGACTTTGTCTAAGGAATCTATTTGAAATCATAAGCACATTTTATATCATTTTATTCATGACAATTTGAAATTTATATACCCACCGTTTGTCGCAAATTTCGCAACTGAAATTGCGTTGCATTTCACAATTGCGATTTCTATGCATTTCCATATGATCTTTAAATTTATTTCGACGTTTAAACGACTTCTGACACGTGTCGCAATAATACTTATTTGAATGCCAATCATTGTGTTGTTTTAAAACGTATCGGTTTGGGAGCGATTCTTTGCAAACATCACATCTGTTTTGAATCGTTGAAGGAACAACAAATTATTCGAATTCCCGAAGTTTCGGTTAAATTATGGAAAACTCGAGTGAAATGCAGAGATATTTTAAAATTACCTGAAAACGTCCGGATTATTGTGCAATGCAATGTGATCACTGAAAAAAGTTATGCGGGAAAACTTTTTCTGGCAACACGACACTGCCCCGACTGATTTGTGAATCTCTGAATGATGTGATTGCATTTCTTTGAACGAGGAAAACGTTTTTACTGGACACAGATCGCACGAAGCATCGACATATCCCGGTATCCGTATGTCATTTCCATTGTTTTCATTAGAATCGATTCCAACCGATGAAGAGCTCGGTTGTATTCCTGGATGTTTCCGTTCCATATGAGTTCTGTGGTGTGTGCTGGTCGCAAAGTATCTATCACAAATGTTGCACATAAATTGCTTTGTTGATAAAGCATTATGCCGTTTCACGTGGTCAATGAGGGTATATCGATACATGTGTTCTAGCTTGCATACTCGACATCTAAAAAGTTCAGCAAAAAAAACTCTCTATCATTAGTCGTACGCAATGGAATAAATTGATTGAAAAGAACATATTTATCGTTATAATTTTGTGTGTTTGAGTTGAACCTGAAAGTGTCTGGATCGATGTGCCATTGAACGTGATCCAAAACTGTTTTTTTTGCATAAATTTTAATTCCACAACACCGGAGATAACCTGTTGGGTTTTTATGTTCTGACGAATAGTGTGATTTGGCCATTGTGATTGTATAGAGCTGAGCATCACATAGTTCACATTTCCGATCGAAATATTTCTCCATAATTCTATTGACTTGTACCTCGCTTACATTGAACTCCATGGATTTTATTTCGTTTATATAATCTGCAATGAAATCAGTCAAATTGAGTACCAACAATATTCACAACACTGTTCAACATCAGACACGATTTAGTACAATGACAAATATTTACCTTTCAAACCGTTCGAATGATTCACTCCCAGGTGGATTTCCAAATGTTTTCGAGTCTTGAAACTTTGAAGAAAAAAAACTAAGATTATGACTTCATTTAATTGAAATGCAGCGTTAACCTACCTCTGATCGCATTGATCGCATGGAAATTTCACTTTAGATACATGTACATTAAGAATATGACGTTCTAAGTGGGTGAGTACAGTAAATACCTTCTGGCATATGTCGCACGTGAATTGATTGGAATGTTTGAGTTTGTGTTGATAATAAGATTGATAAGTTTTCTTAAGTTCTCCACAAATCTGGCATCTGTTTTGTTTGGGATAATACATTTTTAATCAGAATAAATGCTTGTTCCTTGTCAAAGACTAAATTTTTTTTTTGAATTTTTACTCTAACGCAATCCAATGTTTGTGTTCACTCACTTGAATACTGCTGGATTCAAATGATATACAATATGGGCATTCATGAGAGAATTCTCTGACAATTTCAGTGAACAACATTTTACATAGCCTTTGGGCTGATTGTTATGTTTAACTTTATAATGTTGGATGGCTTCTTGTAATGTTCGGAATGTGGCTTCACAAAAATCGCAACTCATGTCGCAGTATTGGTCAATAATTTGCTGTTGTTGCTCAGGGCTCACTTCACTGATGTGTCGTGGAAGTCGTATGCCGTCGTCACTCTCTGGTTGATAATTGCGATCAAATAGTTCATTGTCATCATCATTCTCATTACCATCTGAGAATCCCAGTTCATTCGCTGACTCATAATGAAGTTTGCTTTCTTTTAATGCCATATTCTCATCTCCTTCATCCATTATCATATTGGTGGGCCTCAATGGGTCAACACAAACCATTTCCTGATGGACTGGCTCAACATTTGAAACTGCGTATTCTGAAAAATGTAGACGAATCATGGACCAAATGTAAATGGCGAAGAAATGAAGAAATTTACCACCATAGTCTTCATCTTTGACCGCACTGTTGAGGTGTTGTCGCAGATACTCTTCGCGCAATGCGATGACCTCTTCGGAAAACTTACGAAATGATTCAACTTTATCCCAACATTCGATGCAAATTACTTTTGGCAAAATGTCCAAATTGTTGACCTTCAAGGATTAAGAGTAGTTTTCTTATAATTATGGTCATTTGTTGGAATGTGCCGGTTTCATCGAGTCGAATGGCTTACCTCGTCGTGAAAATACTGTTTCAGTGTGTCGACTATAGTCGGCATCGATGCAGAATTCTCGAATATATCAAAGTATTCAATAGCTTGTGTATAACACAAACGACATTGATTAGGTTCTTTCTTCACTTCCATCTTGTTATATTTTTCTATTCAAATTAAAACCGCAAAATTCAACTAAAATTGTTCTCATGTGAATGTTTTGCTTACAATGTGTCAGATTGATATTGTTCCGAAGAGATATGTGTCAAATTCAAAGTTTAGTTTAACGTAAATTGATATCAGATGGAGCTTCGGTTCTGAATGAGGAGCGAAATTTGAAAAGTGCAACATATATTAGTAATGGATACTTTTTTTGTTTCTTTGCTTCAAATATAGAAAATGAAGCAATAAAAATCTTCAACATTAAAAAAGTGCCAAAAATATAGTTGTTCCTATTCGATTTGAATAATTGGTTTTTATTCGAATGTTTTACTTGAGAAGAAAATACTTACAAAAAGTCGCTGAGGATTTTCCGTTTCTTCTTATTCATGTGCGCTGCGACGTGATCCTAAAATATGTTTTCCAATCCAATTCAGAATGGAGCTACACCTGGGACTTGGGTGTCATTTTTGACGTGAAACTCACATTTGCCAACCACATTGATACGACAGTAGCTAGTGCACACGGTGCATTAGGTTTTATTAAGCGAACACTGAAAAACAAGTTTACTGTAGAATCAGCAAAAATGTTATATTGTGCATTGGTTCGATCGAAATTGGAGTATGCTAGTGTAGTGTGGCATCCATACCACCAGTCATACATTGACAAAATTGAAACAATTCAGAAAGACTTTGTAATCTGGGCACTTAGAGGAATTTACCGAAGAGATGTTAACTATAGATTGCCATCTTATGAATTTAGTTGTGATAATTTGAATATTCAGCCTCTTTGGAGATGGCGTATAAATGCCTCAGTACATTTAATTTATGATCTATTATTAGTAAAGTTAATTAGCACTGCACTGAGAGAAAGAATTGTATATACGTATCAGAAATTAGATGAAATTGGTTGATTCGGATAGGGAATGAGCCCATTCAATTGCTCGAATCGAGAAATCCGTTTGGCCATATATTTGAATGTCGTTGGGGAGTATGGAACGTCATGCAAGCAGACATTCCGTATGGCTGCATATTGAGCTGAGCTATTTACAAATAGCTGGCTGTTTGGTACATTTTGGTTTTGTGACTATCGAACCATGTAAATTACCGACTGGAATGATACCTAGCGGGTATGCTGGCCCTTTAAATTTTATCTCAAAATCCGCAATGGTCTTTACTTTTGTTCGAACAATGTCCGTCGGTAACTTTTAATCGAATGAAAAACAGTTGGAAACCATAAAAATCACATCCTTTGTTCGTATTCCAATTGTATCACTTTGTTTTATTTCCATATATGGTTCCTAATCGTGGATGTGAGTAGAGTAGGGAGGAATCGACCAAAGTTTGATGTCTTATATACCATGATGTCTTATGACATGTATTTTTCGGGATTTCCCTTGTGTTTGATTTATTTATTCATATAAGACAAGAAATAATAAAGAGATAAGCATTCAAGGCTGGTTTTGGGCACACAGTGACCAATTTACAAGTTGAAGGTTAAACAGCTTTCATTCATCGTTTTACTAAATATCTCATTCTTTTTCTTTTCGAATGAAACTCCATATAGCTCCATTTATCGGAACTTTATACGTCGTGTCGTTTGATCTTTCATTTTCATATTTAATATGTAAGCGACGATCCATCTGGTTGTTTTTTTAACTATGAAATGGAGTGTGTTTTGTGCATGCTGCGAAAAAGTGAAAATTTTCATATTCCAATCAATTATCACGTGAAAAGCATAAGGACAAATCGTGAAATTTAAATCGCTGTATTCAAATATAGGATTAAATGTTTTTCGTCTAAAAAATGTGTAAAATCGTCTAAAAAAGTATAAAAATCGTCTAAAAAAATAATTGATTTTGAATCTAAAGAAATTGAGAAAATCGTCAAAAAAAATAACGAAAATCGTCTAAAGAAATTGAGAAAATCGTCTAAAAAGTGTGCATATTTTTTGCGGTGAAAATCGTCTAAAGAATTAGTAAAACCATCTAATTTGAATTTTCAATTTTTTGGTAAAAATCATCTAAAGATGTTAGAAAAACGTCTAAAGAATTCACAAAAATATCTAAAGAATTTACAAAAACATCTAAAGAATTTGTCAAAAGAATTGAAAAAATCGACTAAAGGAATTGCGAAAATCTTCTAAAAAATTCTCATATTTTTATATGTGTAAAAAACATCTAAAATAATGTCGAAATCGTCTAAAAGTCCGATTTGTTTTTTCTGGCTTGAAAATCGTCTAAAAAAATAATTCATTTCGAATGGTCTTTAGCAATGGTGCTCTGAATTCTTCTTTGAAAATCATCGAAACCACTTCCAATTCCCGAACGTATTTTCCAAAGCAAGATAAAACTTGATGTATTTGAATGAGACAATTATTCAGCGTAAACACTCAATCAACGAGATTCATTGAATTTTAATGAATTTCCAATCGTTTTTGAACTTGAAAAACACGAAAAAATCGATGAAATATGAAAAAATAGAGAATATGTATTTTTTTACTATTTCTATATTTTTCTACATTTTTTCATTGTTTTTCGTAGTTGTAAAGACCAAAAACGATTGAAAATCCAACGAAATTCAATGAATTTCATATATTGAGTGTTTATACTGCATGTTTTTCTAAAAAAAATAGGGTGGTCAACTTACAAAGAAAAAATGTTGTTGCCAAAAATCAGACCTCTTAGAAAATTGACCGAAATATTTTGTTTTTACAACCATAGCTAATGAATTTCCTAATCAAATTGTAGCTTTTTCGGCTCTCTTTCCAATGGTATATCAAGTGTGCATTTATCTTTATTCCATAAAAAGTTATGACTAAAATGATTAGTGCGGGTCAACCTACACATAATTCCCCTAATAGTTCAAAGCTGGAAAAATGCTGAATCGAAGATCTATCACGCTGCTGCTCATTGGCTTGGTGTTATCCGAGGTGAGTCGACAATTTCAGTCACATTTTTGTCATCCTAAGAATTTTCGTCCATTTATTTGTAATTTTAATGTTGCTTGGAATTTTTCCACTTGTAAATTTTGCACCGAATTTGGTACAACATCGAAATAGTTTTTTTTGACGTTTTGGTTAATTTTTGTGACGATTTGACGAATAACTTTTCAATTAAAAAAAACAGTTTTCTCAATCGAATGAAAGACATTAGAAAACCATTACAATCTCATCCGTTGTTCCCATTCCAATTAAATCACTTTGTTTTATTTACACAGTTCTTAATCGTGGATGTGAGTGGGGGGATAGTAGAAGACCGAGTCAACAAATTTGAAGATCTCGGAAAGAGAAACGGTTCAAAGACTGTATCTCCAAGAAAGCCAGATGCGCCAAACAAATATGCCAAACCTGTTGTGATAAATCCGGCTTTTCAAATCGTGAAAGCGAAAGCAAAAGTTCCGCAGCCAAACCTGCAGAACAACCAGACGGTAAGATTGGAGATTCATTTCTTCATCAAGTTTCACTCACAAATTCCCTATATAAAACACTTTTTGATGTATGGAGTTTAACATGAAGAATAATACATGGGTGGATTGGTTCGGTGTCTACGTCTACTCTGATCTCTGATCTTTGTTCACCGTGGTTTATATGATATGCGATATATATGTTAGACGAATATTCAAATCTTGGAAAATTTGCCGAAATGACTTCGGGTAGGGCGATTTCAATTGTAGATTTTATGTAGTTTAATGGAGTGTTTTTACTTTTTTTTATGTAGGAACAATTTTTTTGAGTAATCGGCTATCGAAAAACTGCTATAAAATGGAACAACTCAAATCTTGGTCAAAAAACGTATTTTCCACAAATCGAATTTTTTTCGTATTAAGAATGGTTCCATAAAATTGTAGAAAAAATGTAGAATTCAAATCAGTCATCCGATCCTTGATGTTTTCAACAACTTATTTGGTTCCAGGGAAGTTTAATATTTAGTATGGGAATAAAACTGCTATAAACTGCTATAAACTGCTATAAAACGTGTTTTAATAATTGAAGTAACCAAGAATTAACTGTAGTGGCCCGAAAATAATTGTAGAAGCACCTACAGTTATTGTAATGGTCGGAAATTGATTGTAGTCGACTGTACACAGAGAAAAATATTGTAATGTGACGAATTCCAACACATGTTGAGTTTTTCACA